AGAGCTCTTTGTATATTCCGCTTAGCATTTTGCATAATTTAAAGCAATGAGAGGCTAGTGACACCTACTAAGACAGTGGCCAGTCGCCCACATGACGACCACGGCCTCTATCACCCACGTTCAATACAAACTTCTTTTTAAAGTATAGCTTATACAGAAGCACAGTTTCACAGATTTCTTGATAAAATTAATGGAAAATATCCAGAACAACAAGAAATTCGATTTCTAGAAATTATATATATTTTTGTTAAAAATACAAAATGGAATACCTGCTTTCACAGTTTTGCATTTTCCTCTATTTTTAACGATCGATTGTTTGGCAGCTATATATAATAAATAAATAAATAAATAAATAAATATAATAAAATAGTAGTCCGATTTTTTTTAAATTTTACACAAAAATTTTAGATAAATATATAATGGCTGTATATCAAACTTGATGAAAATCAATTGAAAACTAGAAAAGTTATTATTATTTTTCAACAAATTTTCCGATCGTTCCTTTGCTATATATATGTATATATGTATATATAGTCCACCGATTTGCCACGCTCCGACTTATATACTAGTAAAATTATATAGAAGAATAATTCCATTGTTTCATTAAAATAGCTGGCTCTTAAATTTGTTCCAAATAAATCTCGTACATGCATATGCATATGATTCCCAACTGGTTCTAACATCCCCGGAACGAAGTGACTTCTGCCGGCCAAGCCTTAGAAATGTGTTGTGATACAAAAGTTGCAAGTCATTGTTTATTGGTGTTCAAAGTTAGTAACTGATCATACGTACTTACTGGTCATAGGTACTTACTGATCGTAGTTACTTCATTTTCAGAGTTACTTACTGATCAGAGTTACTTAATGCTCATTGTTACTTAGTGATCATAGATACTTACTGATCATAGTTAATTACTGGTCATAGATACTCACTGTTCAGAGTTACTTACTGTTCAGATTTACTTACTGGTCATAGATACTTAATGTTCATAGTTAATCATCATATCATATGATTCCCAACTTGTTCTAACATCCCCGGAACGAAGTGACTTCTGCCGGCCAAGGGTCAGATATGTGTTGTGATACAAAAGTTGCAAGTCATTGTTTATTGGTGTTCAAAGTTAGTAACTGATCATACGTACTTACTGGTCATAGGTACTTACTGATCGTAGTTACTTCATTTTCAGAGTTACTTACTGATCAGAGTTACTTAATGCTCATTGTTACTTAGTGATCATAGATACTTACTGATCATAGTTAATTACTGGTCATAGATACTCACTGTTCAGAGTTACTTACTGTTCAGATTTACTTACTGGTCATAGATACTTAATGTTCATAGTTAATCATCATATCATATGATTCCCAACTTGTTCTAACATCCCCGGAACGAAGTGACTTCTGCCGGCCAAGGGTCAGATATGTGTTGTGATACAAAAGTTGCAAGTCATTGTTTATTGGTGTTCAAAGTTAGTAACTGATCATACATACTTACTGGTCATAGGTATTTACTGGTTATAGATACTTACTGGTCATAGGTACTTACTGGTCATGGTTATTTAATTGATTCTTACTGATCTTAGTTACTTACTGGTCATTAATTAATTCCTGATCATAATTACTGAAATTATAATACCCTGCAAGTGTAAAAATATATAAAATCAGAAGTGTAGTAAAATATATTAAGCAATTTCAGCCTCCGGTGATTTCTTTTAATAAACACTTGGCAAAATTATTAAAAGCAATGTTTCTCAATATCTTTTCCAATGCATGAGATAGCTTTATGTGAGTAGGCTCAATTACAAAGCCATTTTACTTTGAACAAGCAACATAATTTCGGTGAATGAAAGTGAATGGTAACGATAACGATTATAATGGAATGCTGACTTGAGATCTGTTGCCACGAATCATTGTAATAAAGTGTGCCAATCGCATTGACAAATGCAAATGATCCACTTACGAAATCCAACTCCAACTTCCCTTTTGTCATTAAAATTAAAGTCTCTATTGAGAATCCGTTTCTTTTAGAAAATAAATTTAGTTGATTCCCAGACTTCATTCCAGGCTGAAGGCTTGTTAGGCTTCCGGAGCAGTGACAACCCGGCTATTATGCGATCCAATCCCCAATTTCGAACCAATAATAATGGGCACTAGCACGCACCAGAACTCAATTAAAAGGCCATTATCCACACCACACAGAACAGCCTGTGGATTTGTTTAATAAACAATTTCCGCTTTGATTTCTGTCCATACATGAGGGTGAGGATTCCCTCGAACCGCAGCTAATTAACCTGGCTGCTTCTGTTCCGAGGCAATTATGTCGGCTTGGGTGTGAAGAGTCGCCCGCTGGTGGCGACTGGGGGTCACCAATCACCCATTCCACGGTCACCAGTGGGGGGGTATGCTGCCCCGGGCTCAGGTGGTTTTCCTCTAGGAGGAAGTGGAACAGCCGCTTCCTTTGTCGGTCGCAGTGCGTCGCGTTCTTTTGCATTCTTCGCGTGTATTGCGTAAAATTAGCCAGCAATTCGCTCTGGCTTCCCTTTATGCCTGATTGATTGGAGGGGGACTGCTGCTTGTGTTCGATCGATCCACTCGAACTCTCATCAATTGGCAGGCGGCTTCGATTGGAATTTTTCCCTTTAAGCAAAAGCCGACAGAATGCAGCGACTGGAGAAGGCAGTAAAACGATGTCATTCGAAGGCATTGTAGGCATGCGAACTCGAATGGGTTATGTTTTTGTCTTAACCCTATAAAGGGGGTTTGGAAATGTTGCTAAAATGAGCTTAAAACTTCTTGAAAAATATTTCTTGAGATGAATTTTAAATTAATAATAAGGTAAGGCTACAATTACTAATAGTCTGTTTACTATTCTGTAATCAGGATTTTCTTGAAGTTTGGTTTATAGTCAGATAGTAAGGAAATATCTTCTATGTCCTCTTTTAAACTCGGCTTTCAGTGGATAAAGTTGAGTGGAATTCAGTTGCTTATCAAGCACAGAGCCCTTGTGGGAGTCCATTAGCCCATTGGACCTGCCCCACAATCAATCCATGCATCATAGAGAACGATGGAGAAAAACAAAACGGAGTGGAACTGGGCAGCGACTTCCCTTTTTGGCCGGGGGTCAGCTTCCACCGGAAAATATTTGCTTCCGTTCTGTTCTGTTCCCCACATCGATGGTAAAACAAAAAAAAAAGCATTCTGCCTGGGCCGACCGGCAAATAAATTACAATTAAATGCAACAAACATGCAACACACTTACTCACTGCGGAACGCGGCGGATGTTTATTATAAAATGGATACCTACGACATCATTAGCCCCTGTGTGCCTGGTCACTCCCCCTTTGATGGTTCTGTTCCAGGGCCCTTTTCCCAGTTGGAGTATAACCATGGCACGCAGTGAGAGTGGACTGGACCCGGCATGCTAATCCGGAAGTGGGTCATTTTCCAAACGCAAATGAAAGCGTGAGCTCGAACCGAACTCGAGCTGAAAAGCGGCAAAACACATGCTGGCTGCGAGTGGGATATGATGGCCTCGGCTCTGGGAAATTGAAACTGAAAACTGCAGCAGTGAAAAGCCGTCTCCAAATGAGAGAGTCACAGACATCATCATAATATGGCAATCAAAATGAGAAATGCTCCATTGTCTCTGTGTGGGAATCGGGAACCGGGTGAAGATAGCGTCTCCTACTTATGCAAGAACCAAATCGAAGTCGCGTGGAAAGTCTACTAATTGAGATGCTGCGATGACAAGCTCAATAAATAGGAAAAAGACTTGCCAGAGGGTAGGAAAGTTTTGTGGGTTTGTAACTTCCTCAAAAGATATGACTAACTTTCGCATCATTATAACAATAATCTTGATCTGACATTATTGGGTTGTTGGCTTTCCGAGTTGATTTAAAGTTAAGTACTTGTTAAGTACACAAAGAGATATTAGTGGTGGTTTTCCCTGAAAGTGTCAATGCAGTTCTGATGGAATTTTACACTTGGAGAAACACTTGGAATATATAATAATATATATTTTTTACAATAGAAACTTGTACATTCTCTCATTCTCAGACAAAATCAATAATGATTGTGCGTTGCCCCAAATTGAAAATCAAAAGGCGCCTTATTGGCATTCGTTGTGTTCTATGTGCCTTGTATGGTAAATACCAATAATCTCTCGATATTATAGAATAGTTTTGTGTGGATTATAAGGTAGTAACGACTCTTGCCCAAATGTGGAACCGGGGGCTTTATTTCAGGCAGCATGCCCCAGACACCACGCAAAACTTGTGCATAATTTGGTTGAATTTTCGATCAATTAGCCAGAGTGGAGGAGACCAACGGCACAGAGTGACCGCTCGCCCACAAGATGGCCATGCCTTGATTTCAGGCCTCCCACATCCATATCCACATCCACATCCACATCCAATTCCGCTTCCAATTTGACGCGTGCGCAGGCGCAAGTCTTCATTTGCATATCGGAGATGTGGGCGAAATTTCAGTTTCATTATTATTTTCCCACTCCACTCGGCAAACGGATGTTGGAAATTTTCGTATTGCCGAGATGCAGTTTCACTTTTTGGCGGGAAAAACAATGGCACTCTCGGTTGGTTCCTTGCCTTCTCACATTCATTTGGCATGAGAAGACTTGGTTTCGTGGCTTAATTAATGAGCATGTATTAATTGCATGTGTATCTGATTTGGTACAATGAAGGGGTACTTATCTGAAAGCCTATATAACATATATACAATATAAATTTTGTATTTTAATGAATTATATTCCACTAAAGATGATGATTAAAACGTATTCTTAAATGCATAATTTCATTTAAATTAAGATCTTTATAATAAAGGTCTAAAAATATCTCACGAAAGAACAAATTCTGGAAGAATTCAATTAAATGAAGTACTGATCCTTTTCTGGCACATATTAGTCTGAGTCTTGATGTTAATTAAAAACCATATCGAATTAATTATGCACGGAATAATTGGCATACATAAGACTCTGGCGAATTTTTTTAAACATTGGCCAATGCCATAGACGACGTTGGATTGGATACTTGAAAATGAGAGGCTTCCTTATATGGTTGATTGTGGCTCGTAAGTGCTTGCTGAAACAAGTTTCAATTAACTAGAATATTAACTGATACAATTCGCTCTAGTGGCTAGCAGCTCAATGGCAAAGGACTTAGGAGTTATGAGGGTCGATTTGAAAGTGCTCAATGATAGTACCAAATATGAGAAAATTAAAATGAAACAACTGCAAGAATTTATACTGGACATTTTTCGTCGTGCTAAAGACGAAGTCAAGAGCAATATTTCTAAATTACAGAAAGACCTGCTAAGTGAAAAACTGGAATTGGCCAAGGTCTCAGTTAAGCTGGAGCGAAAGGCTCTCCTACTGCAGCACTGTCTATACTCAGATAAGGCCAACGATGATATCAAGCGGATTGCCAAGGAGCAGGCAGATGAAAAACTGGAGTCAGAAGCTAAAAAAGAGTTGCGAGCAAAGTATAACGAACTGCTATTGGATTTACCCAGACCATCCCCTCAAGAATAGAAAAACTGGCCACCTTTTATGACTTTTTAATGCCACTCCTTAGAAGGCCTGTTCTGCCTTGGATTTCTTTTGTTTTCCAAAAAGTTTTCTCAAATTAATGAATTTCTCTTAACTATTAAAGTCCGAGAACGCAAACGAGTCGATAAAGTGAAGTAAAATATAGGAGAGTTATTAGAAGAACGTTTTGACCAATAGTTTTTACTGGCTGGTTTCACGGAGGTGGAGATAAAGGCCACATCATACTCGCCTTACTGCACCATTAAAAGTCAAGCAGAACAGATCCTTAATTGAGTATCATGCAGAATAAATCTTTAACCGTATCAGCTCACCTTATGTAACCGACGAAACCCCTATAAAAGAATTGATCTCAGCTCTGTATTGATTAGTCTGTCAAAAGCTGTCTCTTCAAAATGAGGTTCCTACTACTAAGTGCTGCAGTTTTGCGTAAGTTTTCTGCTTCTGATTTTTACTAGACCAAACCATTTAAAGTGCATTGTGTTTCTAGTCTTACTGGTCATTCCAGCTAAAACCATACCAATTGATCGCCTTCAAATCTACACACGGCCGCGATATCATCCGACAAGGGATCCCCAAATAGTCCTACACAAATGAACCTGATAAGTCAATAAAATGCACATCGTTATGGGCAGTGAGCAATACCTTTAAATTTGTCGTTTGATTTGATTATTTCGGTGAAAGAAATATAACTTTACATTTCGTAATGGATGTTAAAAGTCGGTGGAAAGTTGGTCAGTTATCCTAACAGCCTAAAACTAAATTTCTTACAATGAACTACATCTCAATGGTATTACATCTTATGGTATTAAGTGGGTGGATTAATCGGCCACTAAAAGTCAAGCAGAACAAATCCTTAATTGAGTGCCATTCAGAAGAATCTTTGGCCGTATCATTACTCCTTAAGAAATCTGCGATTCGCCTATAAATGAATTGATTTGTGCTCTGTATTGATTAGTCTGTCGAAAGCTGTCTCTTCAATATGAGGTTCCTACTACTAAGTGCTGCAGTTTTGCGTAAGTTTTCTGCTTCTGATTTACTAGACCAAATCTTTTAAAGTGCATTGTGTTTCTAGTCTTACTGGTCTTTCCAGCTAAAACCATACCAATTGATCGTTGGGGAAACAAGCCCTACACTCTGCCTATGCCAAAAGATCCGCCAGAGTATCCCGAAAGAGTCCTACTCAAATGAACCGGACAAGACAATAAAATGCACATCGTTATGGGAAGTGGGCAATACCTTTAAATTTGTCGTTTGATTTGATTATTTCGGTGAAAGAAATATAACTTTACATTTCGTAACGGATGTTAAAAGTCGGTGGAAGGTTGGTCAGTTATCTTAACAGTCTAAAACTAAATCTCTTACAATGAACTACATCTCAATGGTATTACATCTTATGGTATTAAGTGGGTGGATTAATCGGCCACTAAAAGTCAAGCAGAACAAATCCTTAATTGAGTGCCATTCAGAAGAATCTTTGGCCGTATCATTTCACCTTAAGAAACCTGCGAATCGCCTATAAATGAATTGATTTGAGCTCTGTATTGATTAGTCTGTCGAAAGCTGTCTCTTCAATATGAGGTTCCTACTACTAAGTGCTGCAGTTTTGCGTAAGTTTTCCGCTTCTGATGCACTAGACCAAATCTTTTAAAGTGCATTGTATTTCTAGTCTTACAGGCTAAAGCGGCCGTAACAAAAGAAACTGAATGTTTCCATAACGGAATCGGAATATTGAAGGCGTCCAGTCGAGAAATTGAAAGGATCTGTCCCGACAGACAGGAGTTATATGAAGAGAATATAGTTCTGACGGGCACCATGGCGAAGTTAGATAAACAGAATAGGATTTTGGATGAAAAGTTAGAGGCGGCTCTGGCAGAAATATCCAAGCTTCGGGAATCGCAACGCGTAAAAGAGGTTCCCAAAGATTTACCCCCACTCATCTAAAAACCTGTTCCACACAAGTAGCTACACCTGATAGGCCAATAAAACGCAAATCGCTATGGGATTACCTTTAAATTTGTTGCTTGATTAATTTATTTTGGTGGAAGAAATTTATTTTTCCATTTTGTAAGGGATGTTTCAAGTCGGTGGAAAGTTGGTCAGTTATCGCAACAGAGTATAACCAAATCTTTACTACCGATGGTATTTACTGGCTTGTTCCAAATCTGCCTTTAAAAGTCAAGCAGAACAAATCTATAATTTAGAGCCACTCAGAACAAACTTTGGCCATATCAGTTCACCTTAAGGAACCTGCGAATCGCCTATATAAGAATGGATCTAACTTATGATTTTCTCACTCTGGAAAGAACCGTCCCTTCAATATGAAGTTCATACTGCTATGTCCTGCAGTTTTGCGTAAGTTTATCGCTCATGATTTCCACAGGATAACACCTTTTACACTACCTTTGTCCTTCTAGTCCTACTGGCTGCTCCGGCCAAAACGTTACCAACTGCTTTAGCCAAAAGCAGAATTACATATATCTACACGATACCGGCGCCATCGCCAGACAAAGGGGACAAGGGGGACAAAGAAGCTCCCACACCAAATCCCGAAATCGTCCATTTGCAGAAAAGGCTCGATGAGGCGGAGGTTGAGAGCAACACCTTAAAAAAACAGAATACGATTCTGGAGGATATGTTAGAGTGGACGCAGTCCAAAATGGCCAAGCTCGTACAGGAGAAAGCAGACTTGTCTTTAGACCTTAAGAATACCAAACTCGAGCTCCACAAGGCTGAATACAAACTGAAAAAGCAAGGCAAAACCGATCGACCAGGAAATTCATAGATAGTTGGACGAGAGGAAAAGCGAAATTAAGAGTTCCAATAGGGAGAAGTACGATACCTTGCTCAAAGACCTGCGGTAGACGATCAAACAGGAATCAAAACGTGTTAATGACCCACTCAAAAAATATTCCCCTAAGCCATACATATCCACTCATAGAAATGCCAATAAAATTCGGATAGCTATGGATAGTTCGAATAGTTATTATATCAAATAGCGTATTTAATTTAATAACTTCTGCGAAATTAACTTTAATTTACATCCGAATGCGCAAGACTTCAAATAACTTCTGGTATTTAATGGATGGTTTCAATGGGCTACTGATGCTCGCCGTAATAAACCATTAAAAGTCAAGCGGAACAGATCCTTTATATGAGGGTCATGCAGAACAAATCTTTGGCCGTATTAGATCAACTTATGTAACCGACGAAATCCCTATAAATGAATTCATTTGAGCTCTGTGTTGCTTAGTCTGGCAAGAGCTGCCTCTTCAATATGAGGTTCCTACTACTATGTCCTGCAGCTTTGCGTAAGTTTTCTGCTTAGGATTTCCATCAGATAACACCTTGATCACTACCTTTGTCCTTCTAGTCCTACTGACCGTTCCGGCCAAAACTATACCAACTGATTCTTTGCCAACTCCTTCCACCAGTGGCGAACCTAAAAGCAGTAGTCCCCCACCTACTGAGAGTACACCAGGTGAACCTTTTCCACAGACTGTAAGTCTGCAAGATATCGCAGAGGCACGGGCCGAAAGCAAGGCCTTAAATGAAGAAAATAGGAGTCTGGAGAAAACATTACTTTCGACTCAATCCAAACTCAATGACCTCGGTTTGCAGAGGGACGCCCTAACTCTCGAACTATCGGAGATCAGACAAAAGATCCGGAAGGCGCAAGACAAGCTGAATACGGAGGAGCCGCTGGAGGGGAAATGTAAACCTACCGATTCGGAGCTTGCTAAACAGATCGACGAGGAGACTACTAAGCAGTTGGATGAGCGAAAAGCAAGAATTAAGCGTTTCTACGAAAAGAAGTATGAAAAAGTTCTCAAAGAGCTGCGCCTGAAGATCAGAAGGGAATTGGAACTTTTATATGACCCCCCATAAATTATCCCCGCGTCCAACCATCGGTATCAATGTTAAAATAAAAAGAAAATTTATTTACTGAGTTATATTCAAAACTGATTTTGTAACTGATTGGTAATTTATATTTATATGCGTGTTCATGTCTGAAAACCTGGTTTAAAGAACCTAGCGCCATACCTACCAAAGCCAATAAAATGCTGTCAGTACCGAGGAGTTGCTAATACCTAATATATAATAAAATGTTCTTTTAATTGAATTATTTCGGTTGAACACACTCCATGCCTTACGGAACGTCAAATTGGGTGGCAAGACAGGTATTGCCACAGTCTAAATCTAAATCTAAATCTAAAATCTCGCACTATGAACTACATCCCAAAACCACTGATGATATTTACTGTATGGTTAAATAAGGCTGCTGATACGCGTAGTAACTAACAATTAAACGTTAAGTAGAAAATATCCTTAATTAAGTGTCATGCAGAACAAATCTTTGGCCGTATCAGATAACCTTATGTAACCGACGAAACCCCTATAAAAGAATTGATCTGAGCTCTGTATTGATTAGTTTGTCGAAAGCTGTCTCTTCAATATGAGGTTCCTACTACTAAGTGCTGCAGTTTTGCGTAAGTTTTCCGCTTCTGATTTACTAGACCAAACCTTTTAAAGTGCATTGTGTTTCTAGTCTTACAGGCTAAAGCGGCCAAAACAATGCCATCAGGATGTTTCAAATTGACAATCCCACCAGAATTGGATATAGATCCAGGTCATTCTCAACCATCAATTTATGATGAATGTCCCGTGGGTTTTCTCCCTATACCCACTTTAAAAAAACAGAATATAACTCTGGAAGAAAAGTAAGAGGCGACGCAAGCAGAAATATCCAAGCTTCGGGAATTTGATTATCGTCGTTTGATTTGATTATTTCGGTGGAAGACATTTGATTTTACATTTCGTAAGGGATGTTTCAAGTCGGTGGAAAGTTGGTCAGTTATCGCGACAGCCTAGAACTAAATCTCTCACTATGAACTAAATCTCAATGGGAGAGTTGAAAGCACTTCTTGACCGATGGTATTTACTGGGTTGTTCCAAATCTGCCACTAAAAGTCAAGCAGAACAAATCCTTAATTGAGTGCCATTCAGAAGAATCTTTGGCCGTATCAGTTCACCTTAAGTAACCTGCGAATCGCCTATATAAGATTGGATCTAACATATGATATTCTCACTCTGTTAAGAGCTGGCTCTTCAATATGCGGTTCCTACTAGTAAGTGCTGCAGTTTTGCGTAAGTTTTCTGCTGAGGATTGTTACTAAAACAAACCTTTTAAAATGCATTGAATTTTAGTTTTACTTGCCACTCCGGCCATAACAATACCAAGTGATCTTGAGAATTTGGGTAAGTTTTCCGCTTCTGATTTTTACTAGACCAAACCTTTAAAGTGCATTGTGTTTCTAGTCTTACAGGCTAAAGCGGCCAAAACAATGCCACCAGAATGTTTCTATAATGGAATCCCAATACTAGAGGAGGTGGATCCAGGTCATTCTGCACCACCATTTGATGTATGTCCCCAGAGTAGGGACTTACATATACGGCAAGGCGTTCTGAAGCACGCCATATACGATTTAGAAGAAGAGAATAAGATTCTGGATGAAAAGTTAGAGGCGGCACGGGCAGAAATATCCAAGCTTCGGGAATCGCAACGCGTAAAAGAGGTTCCCAAAGATGTACCCCCACTCATCTTAAAACCTGTTCCATACAAGTAGCTACACCTGATAGGCCAATAAAACGCAAATCGTTATGGGGAGTTGACAAGACCTTTAAATTTGACGTTTGATTTAATTATTTCGGTGGAAGAAATTTATTTTTCCATTTTGTAAGGGATGTTTCAAGTCGGTGGAAAGTTGGTCAGTTATCGCGACAGTCTAGAACTAAATCTCTCAAGATGAACTACATCTCAATGGAAGAGAGTTGAAATCACTTCTTGACCGATGGTATTTACTAAGTTGTTCCAAATCCACAAAAAGTCAAGCAGAACAAATCCTTTATTGAGTGCCATTGAGAAGAATTGTTGGCCATATCAGATCACCTTAAGTAACCTGAAAATCGCCTATAAATGAATTGATTTGAGCTCTGTATTGATTAGTCTGTCGAAAGCTGTCTCTTCAATATGAAGTTCCTACTACTAAGTGCTGCAGTTTTGCGTAAGTTTTCCGCTTCTGATTTACTAGACCAAACCTTTTAAAATGCATTATTGTATTTTAGTCTTAGTGGCCACTCCAGCTAAAACCTTACCAAGTGGTCTCCCTCCACCCAACATAAAGCTTAGGATGATGCCGACAAAGAATCCAGATTTCGGGTTGCATCCAGTGTACCATGGTTGAAATAGCATCTTCGGTAATCGCAACGCGTAAAGGAGCTTCACAAAGTTTTACCCCGACACATTTTACACAACCACACCTGAAAAGCCAATAAAATGTAAATCGTTATGGGGAGTTGGCAATATCTTCTAATTTTGCGCTTGATTTAGTTATTTCGGTGGATAAATTTATTTTTACATTTTGTAAAGGATGTTCCAAGTGGAAAGTTGGTCAGTTACCGCAACAGTCTAGTACTAAATCTCTCTACATGAACTCCATCTCAATGGGGGAGAGTTGAAAGCACTTCTTGACCGATGGTATTTACTGGGTTGTTCCAAATCTCCCACTAAAAGTCAAGCAGAACAAATCCTTAATTGAGTGCCATTCAGAAGAATCTTTGGCCGTATCATTTCACCTTAAGTAACCTGCGAATCGCCTATATAAGATTGGATCTAACATATGATATTCTCACTCTGTTAAGAGCTGTCTCTTCAATATGCGGTTCCTACTACTAAGTGCTGCAGTTTTGCGTAAGTTTTCTGCTTCTGATTTTTACTAGACCAAACCTTTTAAAGTGCATTGTGTTTCTAGTCTTACTGGTCATTCCAGCTAAAACCATACCAATTGGTCTCCCTCCATCCCACACACTGCCGCGCGATGAGCCGTCAAGGAATCCCCACATAGTCTTACACAAATAAACATGAAAAGCCAATAAAATGCACATCGTTATAGGGAGTTGGCAACACCTTTAAATTTGTCGTTTGATTTGGTTATTTCGGTGAAAGAAATATAACTTTACATTCCTTTACGGATGTTCCCAGTCGGTGGAAAGTTGGTCAGTTATCGCAATAGTCTACAACGAAATCTCTCACTATAAACTACATCTCAATAGGAGAGTTGAAAGCACTCCTTGACCGATGGTATTTACTGGGTTGGGCCAAATCCAATAAAAGTCAAGCAGAACAAATCCTTAATTGAGTGCCATTCAGAAGAATCTTTGGCCATATCAGATCACCTTAAGTAACCTGCGAATCGCCTATAAATGAATTGATTTGTGCTCTGTATTAATTAGTCTGTCGAAAGCTGTCTCTTCAATATGAGGTTCCTATTACTAAGTGCTGCAGTATTGCGTAAGTTTTCCGCTTCTGATTTTTACCAAAACAAACCTTTTAAAATGCATTGTATTTTAGTTTTACTTGCCACTCCGGCCAAATCAGAACTAATTCGATGTACCAATCGCAGAATGGAAGGGATCGACCCATATTTCTTCAGACCAATAAATGAACATTTATGTCCCGACAGTGGTTTCTATAGACCAACCCATGAAAGTGACGCTTGACAATCCAATAAAATGTAAATCTTTATGGGGAGTTGTCAATACCTTTAAATTTGTCGTTTGATTTGATAATTTCGGTGGAAGAAATTTAATTTTACATTTCGTAAGGGATATGTTTCAAGTCGGTGGATAGTTGGTCAGTTATCGGGATAGTTTAGAACTAATCTCTTACACTGAACTACATCTCAATGGGAGAGTTGAAAGCACTTATTGACCTATGGTATTAAGTGGGTGGACTAATCGGCCACTAAAAGTCAAGCAGAACAAATCCTTAATTGAGTGCCATTCAAAAGAATCTTTTGCCGTATCAGTTCACCTTAAGTAACCTGCGAATAGCCTATAAATGAATTGATTTTAGCTCTGTATTGATTAGTCGGTCGAAAGCTGTCTCTTCAATATGAGGTTCCTACTACTAAGTGTTGCACTTTTACGTAAGTATTCTGCTGCGGATTGTTACTAGAACAAACCTTTTAAAGTGCATTGTGTTTCTAGTCTTACTGGTCATTCCAGCTAAATCCATACCAGTTGGTCGTTGGGGAGACAAACCTCTCCCTCAACCCGTCCACAAACCTATGCCAAAAGATCCGCCAAAGTATCCCGAAAGAGTCCTACTCAAATGAACCTGACAAGACAATAAAATGCACATCGTTATGGGAAGTGGGCAATACCTTTAAATTTGTCGTTTGATTTGATTATTTCGGTGAAAGAACTATAATTTTACATTCCTTTACGGATGTTCCAAGTCGGTGGAAAGTTGGTCAGTTATCCTAACAGCCTAAAACTAAATTTCTTACAATGAACTACATCTCAATGATATTACATCTTATGGTATTAAGTGGGTGGATTAATCGGCCACTAAAAGTCAAGCAGAACAAATCCTTAATTGAGTGCCATTCAGAAGAATCTTTGGCCGTATCATTTCACCTTAAGTAACCTGCGAATCGCCTATATAAGAATGGATCTAACATATGATTTTCTCACTCTGTTAAGAGCTGTCTCTTCAATATGAGGTTCCTACTAGTAAGTGCTGCAGTTTTGCGTAAGTTTTCTGCTGAGGATTATTACTAGAACAAACCTTTTAAACTGCATTGTATTTTAGTTTTACTTGCCACTCCGGCCATAACAATACCAAGTGATCTTGGGGAAGACAAACCGATGCACCCCGTTCACCAAAGGACATTTAAGAGGGAGATTAAGTCGCAGGGAAGGGGCAATCCATACCCTTATGGGCTTCACAATCCTTGGACTCCGGCCATGCTCGCGGCCTTAGAAGAACAAAATGGGACTCTGGCGGACAAGTTAAAGGCGGCGGAGGCCGAAATATCGAAGCTTCGGGAGTCGCAACGCGTAAAAGATTCACCACCACTCTGCTCAGAACGTATTCCACACAAGTAGCCACACTTGAAAAGCCAATAAAATTCGCATAGTTATGGATACTTTAAAAATTGGCAATACCTTCAAATTTGGCGCTTGATTTAATTATTTTGGTGGAACAAATTTCATTTTCCACTCCGTAACGGATTTTCCAAGTCGGTGGGATGTTGGCCAGTTATCGCAACAGTCTTGAACTAAATCTCGCACTATGAACTACATTTGCCTCCTGGTCGGCATATTCTGTAAGTGTCTTGAAGTATCCGAGATATTCGTTATTTAACTGATCCATCAGCCTGCCTTTGCCTGGTGCATTTCGGCAATGCTGATCCCTTTATCTCCTTGAGATCCAGCTCCAGGTCCAGTTCTCAGCAGATGGTCAACGGTCAGTTGAAAACTGTCTACGACGTCAGAACCGAGCAAGAAGCCAACGATCTCAGTGGAAAGATGGTTCACAGACGCCGGTATGACTTCAGATCGGACTTTGCAGCTCCGCTCCACGAACAAAGTGGGTAACAATTTGTTCATCAGTAATTAGTGAACAAGGATGCGATATATATATATATAAATATATATCAAAGTAGCATCCAATTCATAAATAAATTCAGCTTGCTGAGCTGACTTGAAATGCGGTCTTTAACTCTGTGCATAAAAAGCAATGGGGGAATTATTTCTAATAACCTTCAGTTGAGAAAAACAAGGAATTTATTTAATAAATATATACATTTTCCTGTTAAGATCTTGGCCAAAGCAACATTTGTTAAAATCAAGTTAATACAGAGTTTCACCTGTCCATTTGGTACCTGAACAAATTCAATGTGCTTTGCCATATTAACATTTTAATAAGTTTGAAATTTCTTGAAATATTATATTATAATAATGACTGTGTTTTAACTTATTGCTAAACGTTTAAAGTTTCGCTAGCACAATATTATTAATTAAAAAAGAATTCCTTTCAATTTCAAAACTTCTTAGACTATGTTTAGAAACATTTTCTCAGAACCGTTTGAGTTTGCTGATTGTAAATCATATAGATTCGTCAAGATCTACTTTCTAAATTATGGAATCCGTAATAAAATAGATGGCCGGGCGCCGTGTTGACGCAATTTGTCCTCTGGGTCTTGGCCCTTTGGTTTTAGCCGAAACCTACCTGATTCAGGCTACCTGGAGTATTCCTCAACCTCTTGCTGATCTCGTTCGATCGCTCTAATTTTCTGGCTGGGAATGGAGTAAATGGTTGGTTGCCTCCGGTTAAGGTTCAGTTTTGGGTAAAAGTGTCGCCTTTCATGAGTTTTAAATGGACCAAACGCCGCTTGAGAGCATTTCGTTTGAAAGATTTATGCAGACTTTTTGGTTTTTGAGGATCGTCCGCCGCTCAGCTTGAGTTCCCGAAAAATGTCTGTAATTTATGATATGCATTTTGTTAGCTCAACACTTTTCATTAGTTTAATTGCCGTCCTCCAAGCGAGTCTGGAATGTGCTTGTGTCGGAGCAATCATTATGCAAATGCCGCCAGCGAATGGAATGTGCTTATGGAGAACCAAATTTTAATTTGTTAAATAAGGTTTTATAGGGAAACAAACTGTGGCAAGATTGGTTAGATACTTCTGTCCCTGCACTCGCATTTCATTTGCCATAATCTCGTTTACCTAATCCTTTTCAGAGTACATCAGCCCCAAAATCTTGACTGTGTTCAACCTCGATGATGATAGCGTTTTGTTCCTTCTCGCATTTCGAAAATTTGTCACGTAATCAAACATGAAAATATACAAAAATAAATTTCATAAAAATACACACACTAAAATGCGAGAATGATATTTATATTTAAGGCACACGACAATCCATTATGAGCCTAAAAACAAAAACAAAAACAAAATACAAAAAACATCATACATAAACCACACATTTCTTTGGCATATAATCAGCCACGGCTACCATCTTTCATTTCATTTATTTTACTCGTTCACAAGACTCAGTCCACCCACCGAATGGCATTCATTCGTCCCAAAAAAAAGGCAAAGCCGCTTTGTCATGTTGATGACAGCTTTTATAGACAGAAGGAATGAGTTCTGGGCATGTTTAACTCGCCAGAGATGATTACTTACACAGAAATATGTCAACTTGAAAAGATATGAAGAAGATTAAGTCAACCTTTTTCAGTTTAAATATATATTACTTTATTCTTAGTGAGGAACTATAGTTTACCTAAAATGTATTTAAGTTTGTAACCTATTAAAGTTCAGAAATTATACCTTTTAAACCTTTGTATATAAAGCTACAAGCAGCTGCTTGTTTGACACAGGAAATGGAATCTTATCGAAGTGATACAAAACGCAAATGCCGCAAAATAGTGTCCATTGTGTTGCCATTTCAATATTTTGTTATGATTTGCGGCATTTATTTGTAATTGGATCTTGATTGTTGTCCGTTTAGGGGGAACAAGAGGATCTCGAAGCCAAAGTTCCTGAATTAAACCTTATCATGGCCTCATTTTAATCGGTCGCTTTTGCAGCTAAGCAAACACACTGTGTTTGCTCAACTGGCAAATATTTAAGCTTCTCGCTGATAAGTAACACAAAATAGAAATAGAAAGGGTTGAAATGGGCATTCAGCACTTCCTAGAATTTAGGAAACTCGAAATAACAAAGAAAAACTCATTTATTTATGATGCGGAGCAAACAAAACCCACAACTTGGCATAACGTCTTTCCTTTTAGCCATCAAATTCATTGCCAAAATGTTGTAATTTCTTTTATTTTTCAAGGAACTTTCCCCGAGGAACTTGTCAACTGACAATTAAACTTGAAAAAGTAATATTTGCATATTAAATACTAAAAGGGAGGCGGCATATAGCTCCTCCTGCCAGGAGGTACATCATTATTTTTGTTTGCTTTTCGCAGATTAAACTGGCTAAGACAACGTTTCATGAAACGGAAAACAAGCGAAGAACTTGCCGTCTGGCAGATGAAAGATTTCCCAGCTTGGGCTAAAATGTTTTCAAATCCACAATGTATATTCGTTTTTTGGTTCATTCATGGGCCAGGATTCACTTGAGGCGGCACAAAGACACCGCAGGATGTCCCCACTGAATGCGAATCGACGTGTTCTTCGATTGTTGTTCGTTTCCGTTTCCTGTCCTGCGGCGCATCGAATGCGCTTTAATGTCCATTGTCCTTAGGCAATCGATACAAAAGTCATTTGGAACCCAGTGTGAGTACCGGGCTAAGTAGTGCCCACTCAGCGGTGAAGTGTTGCGATTGCAGCCTCGGCCAGGTGTTCGTTCACTTGAGCCCGAAGGGAGTGCCAGGTAGAAGAGGCTCCTGGGATTCGGTTTTAATTAATTGACAGAGTCGGCCTAAGCCTTAAACGCTCTATTAGGCCCAAACCGAGGTCCTTTGGACCGTAAGCCCTCAGTCACGGCCTCCCGTGGTAATTAATTAATTGAATGTCCTTTGCCAATCCTTTATCATCGATATTTCGACCGATAGACCACACGCAGCGAAGGGGAGTTAGATATCACAAAGCTTTATTAAATGATTCATTCATTCATTCATTCTCCCCATTCGTTCATTTTCAATCAATTAATTTGTCATTTCGCCGATGCTTATCAATCATTGATTTCCGTTCGTTTATGTTGACCACCGCAGAATCAGACAAACTCACACGGAAAACAAAGGCCTTTTTAATCAGCCGCCGAACAATAAACAAAAAATCAAAACTCATTTGCTAATGCCTTTGCAGACTCCGAACGGATGTGACTGATTTTATAATAATATTGTTTAAGTTTCCCAAATAAATATTTATATATTATAGCTTGCCTTTTTTTATCGTTCACTTTGTCGTATTGTTTTTTTAAAAGTCCGCCACTTCATGAATTAAAACCGATTAAATTTTAATCAAATTTGCTGGCTTTATTTGATTTAATTGAATGGAATGGTAGTTAAAGCCGATTATGGTTTCATTTATTTGTGAGTGATTTTAAACACTTGCATTTTACTTGGAACTTTGATTTGCTGAGCTTTTGGGTATTATTTTGTGTATTTAGAAGATAAGTAGGTAATTAACATTAAACTAGGAGCATTTGTTAAGTGTAAAATATACTCTTCGATTTTCGTCTAGGATTTATCAAATATATTTCACCATTGTTAATCACTGTTTGTTGACAGAGTTCTTAACAATTAATTAACCTCTTCGTTTACTTTTCTGGGATTTCGTTTATTTGTCATCAACAATGACTATCTAGGACTAATCAATTAATTGACTCTAACCAGTCTCCAGGTCACGTAACCCAATCCCTGGCATTGTTGTGCGTGGTCTTCCGCAGGAGTTGGTCCCAAGTTCGGCACAAACTTTAATTTGTTTAAACAATCGCAAAATCACACAAATCACGCGAGCGTAAATTTCCGATAAGACACGAACTCGTAGCCTGGATTATTTTCCATCTGTTTGATGGTGGAGCATTGGAAAATTCCTGGATGCTCTGACATGGCTCCCACGCCTGTCTCCTGTCTCCTGCAGGCCACCGATTTGATGGCTCTTTTTTGCGGTTTCAGTTTCACGTTTTTGCTAATTTCCCCGCCTTCGATTTCTTGGCTCGTTGTTTCGCCATTTTCCCGCAATCAATCGGATTGAAAGTGAAAAGCTGAAAGTGTGAGTGAAAATGATTTGCAATCAAACCACTTTGATTAGAGCATTCAGTTTGATTAGCTCTAATGAGGCGGGTGACTGTAATGCCGCCGAGTCTGTTTTATGCAATTCTCATCTGAAGTGGATCCCACTTTTTCCACATTTTCTCCCCGTATTGGAGGCACCCGCACAGTTGAGGAAATTAATTTCGAATTTGCCTCTCCCCGAAAATAATAATCAAAAAAACCAGCAGACCGCAAAATGTATTTCGGTTGCTGTTTCTCAGTGCTGCGCCACATGAGTTGTAGAGTTTAGCTAATGAATACTCTTACCAGGAGTAGAGGTATGTTGGTGTTATAATACAAGATAGATCTTATTTTAATTTTATATAAATTATATTGAAGATGTTCTTAAGCTGGTTTTATATTTACGTTTCTAATTCATTGGGTTTTCTTCTGTTCGCAAAAATCAATTAAGTTAAGTTGAAACCCAATTAAAATATTTGTATCTCTTTCTCTGGGTTATAGATTATATATATGGTATATAGAATATCTCAAATGTTGTAAAAGTATAAGAAAAAAAAACTATAATAATATATAATACATATAAAATCATTTTGCTTACAATATTTATAAATCATAGTAGAGTATTTACTGTTCGATGAACATATTCTCTATACGACTTTTACGTCTGGGCCTCCAACCAAGTGGCACTTGTTCTGATTAACCCTTTGATGGTAGCCCAAATAATTATAAATTAATGTGCTGCCAGCTGCCTTTCATTCCACTCCCCTTTATTTTTAATGTGCCCCTTACTCCATTGAAACAACGAACTTTTTTTGTTTTTGGGTTCATGCCTCGCATTGTTTTTCAATTTTTCAACTTTTTTGCCGTTGATAATATAATTAAGTGGGTTTTTTTGTATTTGCTATAATTATGCCGCTTTTGATGTTTTATTTGGCACATTTTCGGTGGCCAAAATACAGAAATAAAAAACAGAAAACAAAAATTATTGAAAATGATTTATAATTTATATCGATTTAATTGTATGAATCGCCTTTTTTAGGCTCTGCCAATGATTATATTTATGAATTTGTGGCTTCATCTAATTAGATGTATCCAAAAGGTTTGCTTAAAGCACTAATTGGTGGTTTTACACATCGGGGTTTGTGGATCAGGGAATTATTGACGTGGAATTCACACCTTTGACAGTAACTAATCGGTAAATGCGATTAACCAGATCTAATTTGTTTACTATAAGTCATATGAAATGTATAAATTCTTTGGGAACTGTACAACGAACATGAGGGTCGTAAGTTCTATAGGTATTACTAAGCCACAAATTCTTGTAATACATTTATGTTTATATTTATTTATCTCTTTACTAGTCCTAGTTGGTTTGACCTTGTTGATGGCTGCCCGGCGTCCGAATTATTTAGATTTTCACAATTTTATCCCATATCCCATCTTGGGAATGACACCCTAAACATTTCAATAAAAAATCTTCATAATGTGAAGTTCGCTATGAATACTTAAAGACGGTCGTAAACTTGTTTGAGGCATTACTGGTTGGAAATGTAAAGTTGTAAAGCTGGAATTTCAATGAGTCAGTAGATGTATTTCTCACACAGAATTTGCCAGAAGAAAGAAAGAAGAACAAAATCATAAACGTTGGCTTTCTAAGTTGATTCAAATTCATATCCAATTATAATTCTAATTTTGCTAATATGTGAAAGGCCCCCCATTGACTTGCTACCGTTTGGTGGTTCTTTTAAGAAAAATTTGCAAACATTCTAAACCCTTACTTTCCCATGGAGCTTAGACACACAAAACCGGCTGACTTTTTATACATATATGTATGTATACCCAAAGTTCATTCATAGTCGCCGCCAACTCTGCCAATTTGTCAGTCATTCACTCATTCAGAGACTCACGATGTGTTAACATGTAAATTGATATCTCAACATTGTTCACTGCTGTAACCATTGAGAATGAGCCCGGCTTGGAGATAAGGTTTACGATCGTCGGAAGAGGCCAGGGGGAAAAAAGTGTGTATGTAAATACCCCGATTTATTTACAGCCATGGTAATGATGCCCTGCCAGCGGATGAGCCCAGCTAGTCTCGACGCACCGATCAATGGGTCTTCATGTGGTTTTATGCCCTCCAATGCCATTGTCTCTGCGGTCATCGTTGGGCTTTTTTTTTGTCATCAACTCTGCCTTCCACACACACTGTCTTTTCATTGATAAAACTGACTGGAGTTGGAGATGGAGTTGGAGCAGTGGCCGCTTCCTCTTTGTAAGTGATTTTTTGCCGGTACTTTTTTCCACGCAAATCCGGTCGGTTGGCTTGACTTGGCTTGGCTTTGGTCTCTTGGCCAGTCGGTGTCGATGTCATGAGACTTCCATGGCCCAGTAATCTGTTTTCAGGAAGTTGTTGAGGGAAATGGATTTGTGCAGACATTCGTGTCTTGTTAAATATGGGTTATGGGGAAGGTTTTTTATGTGTAAGTTGAAATGCTGAAAGAAATCCTGGTAATACGTAATAAAATGATTACTAATTTGGCAAAAACAAAGTGCTAAACATATGGTTATAAAGGAAAAATTTTAGTAATTTAGTAAGTTCTCTGATGTGGAAAAAAGGTGATATAGTTTTGTAGGATAAGTTGCGACCTTTGACAAGCATCCAAATACCATAAAGAAGACCAAAGCTGTAATTGATCAGCCTTTTTATAGATCTCTTTGTATTTTAAGCAAGTATATTCTTTTTGCAATTTTATTAATGCCCATGCTGGAAGTTTTAATTTATAAGTTTATAAATCTAGTGCCAGAAATTAATTTATAAAGATATAAGCGCGTGTGTGTTGGTCTTCCTTGTGTGCTTGTGTGTAGGCTTCTCTAGGACTTAGCTGCTTTTGCTGCTCCTCCATGGTTTCTGGTTAGATGGCCAGGTTTTCATCATTCTTCAAGGATGCAGTTTCCTGGCCCAGAACCATGGGCTCCGCATTGGCCGAGAGGGCCACAAAGTTCCCATCACTTGCAGTGGCGTCCTGAGGACCATTGGCTACCATGGGAGATGCAGCCGGCAATGGACTTGGACCAGCAACAGGCTTGGGATTGGCTACTGGCTCTGCCTTGGGTGCGGGATCGGGCACAGGATTTGGTTCTGGAGCAGGCACTGGTACGCCAGAGACCCCATGGAGCACCACGAAGGAAGCCACTACCAGAATTACGCCAACTACTTTTAGTTTATCAAAAGTGGGAATGCTCATTCTGGCTACTTACCACAGGCGAATGCAAAGATGGTCAGGAACTTCATGATTTTCAAACTGAAGTGGGAAAATACTGGAAGATGGCCAGCTTTTATAGGGCGTCAGACCTTTGGATTCATGTTGAAGCTACTCAGAGCGTCAGAAATCAATTAGCTTCGTGGCAAAACAAGTTCATTGATATTGCTACTTTTATATAATAATTAATTGATTTTCATGCGGGAAAATAATATAGATAAAAATCTTTTTAAGTGCTACTTGAAGTCAAACAAATTTTAGGGAATAAAGTAATGGCAATCATATAAAACAAGAAAGGAAGTTATTTTAAAAAACGATAATGCCTGCTTTCATTTCATTAATCCATATGTTTTATATTTACAATTTTAAATTTACCGTTTTGCATTTTCCTCTATTTTTAACGATCGTCTGTTTATATGATATAGCAGTCCGATTTTCATAAAGTTTTATACAACATTCAATATGATGAATATGAGGAACATCTGTTGAAAAATGGAAAAGTTATTATGTTTTGTTTTTAAAATTTTCCGATCGTTTCTATGGCAGATATATATGTATATATATAGTCCACAGATTCGCAAAGATTCGACTAATATACTAGTGAAATTATATAGAAGAATACCTCCATTGTTTCATTCAAATAGCTTGCTCTTAAATTTGTTCGAAAACAATTCTCACATATGCTTATGATTCCCAACTTGTTCTAACATCCCCGGAACGAAGTTACTTCTGCCGGCCGAGTTTCAGAAATGTGTTGTGATACAAAAATTGCAAGTCATTGTTTATTGGTGTTCAAAGTTAGTTACTGATCATAAATACTTACTGTTCAAAGTTACTTACCGGTCATAGTCTCTTAATGGTCATAGATACTTACTGATCAGAGTTACTTAATGGTCATTGATACTTACTGATCATTTTTACTAACTAGTCATAGATACTTACTGTTCAGAGTTACTTAATGGTCATTGATACTTACTGATCATTTTTACTAACTGGTCATATTTACTTACTGTTCAGAGTTACTTAAGGTTCAGAGTTACTTACTGGTCATAGATACTTGCTGTTCAGAGTTAATCAATCACCATATCATATGATTCCCAACTTGTTCTAACATCCCCGGAACGAAGTTACTTCTGCCGGCCGAGTCTCAGATATGTGTTGTGATACAAAAGTTGCAAGTCATTGTTTATTAGTGTTCAAAGTTAGTAACTGATCATACATACTTACTAGTCATAGATACTTACTCATCATAGTTAGTTACTGGTCATAGATTCTTACTGATCAGAGTTACTTAAAGGTTATAGTTACTTACTGATCATTTTTACTAACTAGTCATAGATACTTACTGTTCAGAGTTACTTAATGGTCATTGATACTTACTGATCATTTTTACTAACTGGTCATATTTACTTACTGTTCAGAGTTACTTAAGGTTCAGAGTTAGTTACTGGTCATAGATACTTACTGTTCAGAGTTAATCAATCTTCATATCATATGATTCCCAACTTGTTCTAACATCCCCGGAACGAAGGGACTTCTGCCGGCCAAGAGTCAGATATGTGTTGTGTTACAAAAGTTGCAAGTCATTGTTTATTAGTGTTCAAAGTTAGTAACTGATCATACATACTTGCTGGTCATAGATACTTACTCAACATAGTTACTAACTGGTCATAGATACTTACTGTTCAGAGTTACTTAAGGTTCAGAGTTACTTAGTGGTCATAGATACTTGCTATTCAGAGTGATTCACTGCTTATAGTCACTGATAATTTTTACTTACTGGTTAAACTGTAATTTTTAAAATCTAACACAGAAAAACTATGTTAAGTGAAATTAGGGAATTTAAGACTTGGTTATGATCGATTTAAAATTCGGCACCTCAACTAATTTCTCTTCAACAATATTTATGAAAACAAATACCAAAATATATTTCCACATTCTTTAGTGACATATTTTTGAAATCATTTAACCATTTAAAATGCACATAAACCAGTTAATTTACGACATCCTAAATATCTCCAGAGACTTTATATGGCATCTTGTGCGTTGAGAGCTGTTTTTGCCACGGATATACGGTTTTATCATCCACATCCGAAGCAAGTCCTAGACCCATTATAGCAATAAGCACAACTACAAGAATTGATAGTGATTGTTCCTATAAAAATTAAGTCGTAGAGGACTTACTCAGTCCGGCAAGTAGTTGACTCAGATGCATCGCGATGGAACAGTTTCCGCGCATTAATGCACTCAAAGTGTTCGCCAGGCAGTTTATACTCACTCGCAGAGCACTTTCATGGCCCCAAAGTGCTCAAATGGAAGCTATCAAATCAATTTACAACACATTACAGCATCGAAGATCGTAAAAAACTTTATCGATTATAAAGAATGGGAGGGGAGAGCATTCGCTTAACTGGTGTCAAGTTGCTTCTGTGCAACTCCACTTTGGGGATGCAACGTTTATATCTTTGAGGTGATATTGGTAATACATTATATTCCATATTAATATAAACATTTTAAATGGTAATTTTTGAGGTAAATCTTAGTTGTTTTGAGTACCAGAACTAAGCTAAAAATTTTCTTATGCTAGTTTTTATTTGGTTAACAAATCTGCATACTCTAAAATTTTAAATTATTGAAAATTGGATCTTTAAGCCAATTTTTGAAAATTGTAACGATGTAACCCCTTATCTTTTTTTGAAAAAAAAATTTGAAAAATTCTGATTTCTTCTGGTCATGCCTAGATCGATTCGGCTTTTAATGCTGATCAAGAATAAGAAAAGAAGTTTATAGGATCGGAAACAACTCATGTCGTTACCAGCGTCTGACTAAACTTATAATATTGAAATAATACAATTTAAAATTTAATAGACTAAGAAAGAATATTACTTATTATTGTATACTTACACCGGCTTAATATAGTTTATATTATTGTTCAGGTCTGAAGTGACCAGCTACGCCTATAGTATATAAAACTATTCTTTCTATCCTTTCACACAAGTGATTGGAATTTTTGTTTAATATTTCTCTTTCTAGTAGTATTTTTACCATAAACCATTAGTAATAATCCTCGTCTCTCAGCTTTGGAGTAGTTTTCTTGGCTTGGCAGCCAGATTCCTTGAGAGTTTGCAGCTCTTTCCTTACCCTTTTGTATGTGGAAATCATCCTTCGCATTTTCTGTGTGAAGTTACCACAATATTGATGTTGCTCTAAAAACTTGACTTCCTGATTCAAAATGTTCAGGCAGTTTGCTTTCACGTTTCCCTCTCCCTGTTTTAAGAATCCTGGGTTTAAATATTTAAATTATTATACATTTTTGAGTTTTTATAGTATAAATACCTGCCGAACTCTCAGGCAATGTGGAAATATTGGCTGTGAAGATCAACTGTATAAAGACTAATTAAGAATTAATTAAACAAATGCAGTTTAATAATTAGGAATATTCCAGTTCAACTTACAATGAATGCAGGTTAAAATAAATATTGTGGACGCTATCATCTTAATGGTTTAATACACTTTTAACTTCTGTGAAGAAAACCCTTTGTTTTGAAATTAAGCTTGCATAATTTATTTATTTCTGGTAATCATAAAGTACTTGCTGCATAACAAATTTAAGTTCTCTTATGTATTAAATGCAATCTCTTTGCTATGACTTAATCATCATCTCTTAATAAGTATTTGCAAGTATATTAAAATCACATTAGATAAGTCTCCACAAAACTGAGATAGTGGACACTAACTTAAGCGAAGCCACGTCGTCTGGTTGAGTGTCATGCAGACAGACCTTATCATCTTTCATTGTTTTGTGAGTAATAATATGATTCGAAAAGTTATAGTTACCCCCCTCGGAGCTAAAGCTTTGAACATTATAAAACATTTATGAAATTTGTTTAGCAGCAGATGTACGATGAGTATGCCAGCTCCGCGTGCAGCGTCAAAACAAATAACTTTTGGAATATTTGAAAAGTTTTTAGTGCTTGCCATAAACCTTGTGGAGTTGCAGCTCGTTTCCAAGTTTCTCCCTGAAAACCCGTTCCACTAATTTCCCTAGACTTCCCCTCCGTTCCCGGACAGTGTTCTTTACGATTCGTGCGATGTAATATAGACATTTTGGGTGTCATTAATATCCCGTTTGATTTGTGGATATTGTGTGCTCGGAATGGAAATATTATTATGGGTTGAGGAGTGTAAATTATTTGAAAATGATACGGCATGGGGAAAGGGAGAGATCCATGGGAGCTAACTACCCAAAATCTATGATCAAAAATCGATAAGACCTAGTCGGAAAGTGTCACAATGTCTTGATCTTATTACCCATGAACATTTCACAATATTAGCTTGAATAAAAAATTAACATAATTGACATTTAATAACGCCTTAAATCGACTTGGCTGACACAAGCAATTTCCCTATGATTTTCCATTTTACCATTCCATTTTTCACATTTTAGCATACTCAGAACGTGAATAAAAAGCATCTTTTGCATTATATAAAGGCTTGGAAGAGAAGTGCACAAGTTTGGCCCGAACAAGTAGCGATTGCTGTCAAGGCAATTTATTATGCCACGCCTCCTCTGGCATTGCCGCCCCCAATAAGCGACATTTAATGTTGATTTATAGTGCGCAATCCGTAAGATACAATTTCTTGTGTGTGCGCTGCAAATGCGATTGAAATCGAAAGTTGGTGAGCTCAACAGACATTAGTCGAAAGTGAAAATTTAACGCGGCAATTCAATGTTTTTGTTTCTTTTTTTTTAGCTACTCAAAAGGCATTATTAAATACGTTCTTGGCCCAAACGATGAGCATTATAATTAACAGGCGAAAACGAAAACGTTTCGCACAATAAATCATCTAGCATTAATATATCATTTTAATTATCAAATGCAGACAGGCGACGGAAAAAAAAAATAAGCAAACCAAACATTGTTTAAAAATAAAAGAGAGCAGAGAAGAAGCTTTATATATCTTTTTATATAAATATGATTTACTTATAAACATTTTTGATTCCCTTTAATATTTATTAAGATAAATCTGTAGTCCCTAGAGTCCCCACTTGTATGATAAAGTACATCTTTCAGACTTAATTGATTAGGAATTCAAATAGGAAACCCAAGTCCCAGACTTAAGCATAAAGGAAATACCATTTTGCATACCAAAATTCTGTGGAAAGGCCACAAACTCAATTAATACCCAAAAAGCCACAGCCAAAGCATTTGGCACAAATTCGCAAATTCCTAGTAAGGCTCTGAGCACAATGGAAACTGAAATCGGTCGACAAAATGAGTTATGAAGGCCAAAACGTCGATGATCCCTCCCTCTGTTGCAGGACACTTTGACGCCTTTCCGCTTGACCTGGCCCAAAGGCTGGCACACCTGACGACGCTGACAGCGGATATGGCCAAGACGTCGACGGTCCCTGTGCTCCTGTTTCGGTCTGTGATCCAACTGCCGATGCCACCTGTTCGGGGTCCCCAAGCTGTTGCCGCTCAGCTGCTTTAAGTTTCTTATATATTTTGTTGTTTCTTATATATATATATATTTTTTTTTTAATTTTTTGTTTGGTCTTTAATAAGGTACTTGGTTTCGTTTAAAGCCGCTCGTGGCACTTGCCACTTGAGCAGACGCCGCAATCGGAAGTTCTTGTTTATGATATGGATCCTGTTGCCAATATCAGCTGCCACCTGGAGGTTGATTTACTGCCACATCCCCTGTCCACCAATTTAGCTGTTATCTCGATAAGGTTAAGTGATGTTTATGCTCAGATCAAATAAATTCTAAGTACACTCAGGTCGGCCATCTCGCTCTCTGATGCAGATACAATTGTATCTCAAAGTGGCCGCAAACATGATTGATTGATTGCATCAATAGTCGTTTCGCTTCTGCCAGAGTTCTTCTCGTTTTATTTTTATGATTTACTGCTACTATTTATAGGAAATGTGCTTGGCACGCAAAAAGCGAGCCGTAGGGGAAGTCGCCACCGCATCCACGGCACCGAACTTGATGGACAGACTGCCATCCGGGGCACAGATGCAGATGCAGATGTAGATACAGATACTATTGCCAGACTCGCACAAGTGCAGAATCCGATTCGGATACAGATGCCGGCTGTAGCGACTTTTTAGCCCCACCGATTTTGTTTACAATTGGAGCACGTCTGTTTTGGCTGCGGCAGCTGCTGACCGTTGGCCATTAACTTGCAGCTGAGTCTGCAATTACATCTTCAGGCAAGGAAAACAGGGAAGATTAACTAAGAAGAACCTTGAAGAGTTTAGTGGAAAATTCACGATCCCTCAGCCAAAGATGTATCTAATTTAAACACCTCAAAATTTACTTAACTTTAGAGAAATTTGTATTCAATTTATTAGCCAAAGATGTATCTAATTTAAATACCTCAAAATTTACTTAGCCAAGTCGATCTAGCCATGTCCGTCTGTCCGTCTGTCCTTCTGTCCGTCTGTCCGTTTCTACGAAAACTAGTCTCTCAGTTTTGAAGCTATCTGAATGAAACTTTGTAGTTAGTCTTCTACAGCTTTCTTTCTTGTTAGTGCATACAGTAGTTCTTTCTCCCCCAAGCTCCACTGTATGAAAAACTCGCTGTGTTTGCACCGCGAACAGCTTTCTGTAACTGGAGCATACCTTCGTCACGTCTGCATCTTCATCTGGAGGATGGAGGTGAGGAGGACTGATTCCCCGCATCGCATGATGCACACTGCATACCTTCCAGAGGAGCAAAGACCCAGCGACCAAGAAAAGCGACTCCCCCGAGTGCCTGGCTTTGTGTGTACTTTTCACACGGTCGTGTGAAAAGCGTGCTATGATACCATTTCCATTTGCATTTGCTGTTCTTCACAAATATTTAACCGTTCGACAGAAGGAATGCCGTGTAACTAGAAGCTGTCATTTCCTATACACTAGCCCCCGAGGGTATAGACAAACTTTGAGGCTTGAAAAAATGTTTATTTGAGCCCATGATAGCCTGCATATCCAACACCTTTAAAGTGATCTTAACCAAGGGTCTAGTCTACCTTGCTTCGTTTGAAGTTCGTTAAGCGGTGACCTCTAATTAGGGTCTGATTCATGAATTCTTAATTGCCACCCCGGGTTAGGTTAGTTGCATAAGTTGCCGTGTTTCTGCTAATTAAATCAATCTCAATAAGCAAACAAATCAAATTGGTTCCGCATTTTTTCGCACAAGTTTTTCACAACTCTGCACCGACATTCACTCATCATCTTCATCTATCAAGATCTAACGAATTTTTTTAGCTGTTCCGCAAATTATCGAGCTTCAAAAAAAAACCAACTTTATCTATTTCTGTTTTCGGTTCGTTGATGATAATTTCACTTTCATTAATAATTTTTGGACTTTTTGACTTTGTCATAATTAATTTTTGAACTTTTGTTTTTTCTTTTGTTTTGTTTGTGTTACGTTTTGGGCTAAATAAATCATAACAACGAAATATTTTGACAATGTCGGGGAATTGAAAATTGCGGTTGAAGTTTGACTTTCTTTTCGCTTGGCTTGGCTTTTGCATATGGCCAAAGTTCAGGGCTTTATTACATATATTTTTATTTGGTAAGTCCAAGTTGGAAGTTGCCATAAAAGTGTTTAACCCATAAATGGTCGGAAACGTGCTCATAATAAATTGAAGAGTGGGTTCTAGTTAGGAATAATAAGCAAAATGGTGAGTGATGGAATATGTGGGAGTGTTTAGAGGTATCCAAAGTACTCAATGTTTATTTTCTGACTTTAAAATTTTAATAGAATGAAAATATCATTGATACTTTATAAGTTATTGAATCTTTTATTAGACTCTCTAAATATCTGTTTGGCTTATACATTTTCCAAAATTTTCCACGCCTTACTCGAGAACTGGGGTCTGCCCCGCCTCTCTAGCTCTGCCATCCAAGCCCATCCGGCGTCACTCAACTGCATCTGCCGTTCTCGCTGGCTACCCATCCCCAACTCCGATTTCCACGAGGAAACCCACATGCCGGTCAAGTCTGATTGGAAACCAGTTTTTCGCTCTCCAAAAACTGAGCGAACTGAACGGCGGTTGGAACCGCTCGCACGCCCACCAGAAGTAGACACTTTGGTGTTCGAACCGCAACCCACACATGTTGAGTAAAGAAACTATTTTTTTTTTAGGATTTCAGAAACTATAAGTTTCAGCAAAAAATTAACTTCTTTGCTAAAAAATAAACAGTCTTATTCCAGGATATCAAAATATAAGGAAACTTTACTACATCTTTATGAAATTAACATAGTAATAGTTCAAACCACATCATATATATTACCTAGTTAATATAGTTCTGTTTATAACAATGTAGGTTTATTTTCATAGTTTAATAGTGTTGTGTATTTTAAAGTATTTAAAAATATAAGGAAACTGTTGTCCATTTGTTTTTCTGAGTGTTTTGAGTGTTGAGAAAAAGAGCGAGCGTTCGAACATGTTGCTATAGAGCATGACTACACTGATAAAAACTTAATGTTTTAAATTTAAGACTTTTATGTAAGAGTATTACATTTATAAAGCAGTGAAGGAGTCATTTCCGACCCTATAAATCATATAAATTCTTGATCAGCATCAACAGCTCAGTCGATCTAGCTGTGTCTGGCAGGAATTTAATTTTTTCAAAATTTTCAAATTTTTATAAGGGGTTACATCGTTAGAATTTACTAAAAAATATCACAAAAATTTTAAATCTTTTAATTAGTAAAACATGAATGAAGATTTGTTAAGCTAAGAAAAACTAAGAAAGTAATGATTTTCAAATTGAATTTAATGGATTTTTAACAAAGTTGTGATGATTTCAAAGACTTCCTTAAGTTACCTTTTCTTCTTGTTAGAATATTTTGTTTAATATGAAGAAAGCAATTTAAAAATGCTAAAATCTTGATTTGTATAATATAATTTATATTTAATTTATATTTCTATCAGTGTATTTACACACACTCTCTCTGCCTGCTGGCCCTTAGCTCGATCCATGTCTCGCTCGCTCGCTTGCTAGCAACTAACCCTCGCAGGTCTTTCTCTCGCCTTTCGCTCACTTCTCTCTCTCTCTTTCAATCTCTCTCTCTCTCTCTCTCTCTCTGAGTGATTCTCTTTCAACTTCTCTGGCGGGTTAGACCTCGCAGACACTAGCTCTGTGGCTTCATTGAGTCCGTAAACACCGCCGAGAGCAGTCGCTGCTGCCGCTTTTACGCAATCTTTATTATTTTTCACTATTGTTCGTGAACTCAACTACATAACTGTGGACGGCTGAAACGAAACCGAAAGTGCAACTAAATCGAAATTACCATATATTTTGCAAACCCAAAAAATAACAGTGAACCGAATTAGAATCGAAGGGGAAAGACAAGTGCATTTCCCAGTGGAAATCACTGCACCTGTGCACCTGTTTCCTGTCCCTTGCGGCACACGTACGCACCTTTGGGCTGGGGAAATACGCGTAGAAATGCGGCTCATATGCAAAGTACAGTGGAGTGCTCGATAAAAGTTAATGCCTTAAAAACAGACGAAGAAAAACAAAACAGAAACATAGTAAAACAGTGCGACCTTGTCTTGTCTTCGGTGGAGCCCCTTTTTCCACCATCCACTATCTTGGGATTACACACACTCGCACCGCATTTGGATATAAAATAAAACCTCATCAGCTTAAAGGTAAGCCCCCAGATCATACATTCTCCCCGATCGTATGGGATCAAATCTAACCCAGTTTTCGAAGGCGGCTCAATAATTTACTCTTTTCCTCTAGAAAGTTTTGATGGGGCAACGAGATCTAGTCTGCTTTTCGATTGGTTTTCTTTTCGTTTATGGCGAAAGTCTAGAATTTTCACTCAATCTAGTTTCAATTATCGAATTTATGACAAGATCTCTTGGGAGATTTTTCGCCACAGCCAGAGGAGTTGATTGAACTTAAAAAGACCTATGGGCCAACGGTAACCAAGTTGTTGGCAACTCATTTCCGCTTCCACCGAGATCATCTAGGCGATTATAATGCAAATACACGGACTTTCTGTACGTCATTGTCCGGTTCTTTGTACATTTGCAACTAAGTAATTTAGTAAGCATTTTTATGCAAAATACCTTGGGGCCACACGCAGACGGACAAAAGACCTTCCCAACTATTTACAAAAATGCATAAACATTTTTATGTAAATTGTTTTCGGATGGATGTCTCCCCTAATTAGGCGAAGTCGTTGGGCTAAACGATTATAAATGAATCAAAGCTGGATTGGATTTGGGATTGATATCTTTGCAGGTTGTTATGAGAAAAAGCTGTCTCTTTTGTTTCGAATACAAATGGTAACGAGTTCACATAATCCTAATTTATATTCGTCTGAGAGCTGAGATTTAAGATCAAATACACAATACCTTGAAATGCTCTTAATCCGATATACTCATATATCATTTCGTTTCGCTTGAAGCTTCTGTAGTTCTCATCTTCCTTGAGCTTCACAGCTAGTAAACGCAAATTCTGCGTACAAATTTCATTGGAAAAGAAACAATAAAAACTTATTATTATTTTCCAACAGACGAAGGCAAAGTCAAGTCCATGTCCAAGGCGCTGATGGAGACCATGTGTTTGTGGATGCTGACTGGGGGAAAATTCGCAGTGTCCAAAGGCGGTTTTGGGGGCTATTATAAAATTTCCAAACTGCGGTGGATTTTCACTTCACTTTCCTCAGAGTTCGTCGTACTCACTATGATATTGATATTGAATTAATTTCCTGTCTCCTCGCAGTGTGTGAGAGTATTTTGTCCGTTGAAAAGGCCTGAGGACCTGTATAAATGCCAAGCACGTCTGCTCATCCCTGGGATAAGCATTTTGTACAAGCGTTTTGTTGTCTTTGTTTGCTTCTATTTGGCTAATTAAAAATCAGGAAATGCACACGAACAATGCAACGCAGCGGGATCCCATCCTGAGTTCTTGGACGAAACTACGTGAGAGTTCCGATTTTGGGCCTACCTGCTCGTGTGCTACTGTCAAGTGCGGTTTGCTACGCTTTAGCGCCTGTTCCCAGGTAGGATTCTCCGAGTCTTGGAATATTTCTACCAAACAGGATCGATACGTGCTCTATGAAAGGATATTCGCCTGATTTAACTCTCATATTGCAACCACGTAGCTCAATGCTATCCATTGATTAATGGAGACTGAAAGTCGAGTGTGGTCTGGCCCAAGGGTCATTTATCTTTAGCCAGAGATCTAGTCAAGCATTCTTATAACTCAATTCGTACTAAGACAAGCGAATTGAGATATCTTTGATATAATCTCAGGGTGTGGAATCTCTTTAGTTTGTTGGTTGGTTTATCTCCTATTCACGCTCATTTAAAAGCTTCAACTGAAACGTGTTTGTATAAAATCTTTGGGGTAATATATGCACGGGGTTTTATGGTTTAAGGAAGTCGTCTAACTTCCATATACAGTTATGCTCACTACGGTCTATTGTCTTGACATCGAATCAAAGACACACCCGCGCACTCTCTCAAAGGCTATTGACAATTGACAAAGAATTGTACAGAAATTTGCCATAAAATTGTGCCACCCGGACTTCGACTCAGACTCCCCCAAAACCCAAAACTCGTGTCATAAGCAAATTTCAAATGATTTGCAATTCAATGAGGCGTTGGCAACACATTTTCTTAGAGCTACAAAAAAATTCAAAAAGTATACCGAAATTCAATTGAATTGAAATACAGGCTTGAATTGGGGTTTTTTCTTCATCTTCTTCGTTGACTGGGTTATGTATAAATGGCAACCTCGTTTAGCGTTTCTTGCTAACTTGGCTAAATTACAGCGAAAATCATACTTAGTCAGCGACTTTAAAAGGTGTATTCGATAAACAGATATATGTACATATATACATACAAGTACAGAGGCAAAATGCAATAATAATAAAAGGCTTCGGTTATTATTATAAATTATGGCACAGTGTCAGCAAAAAAATGGAAGTTGGCGCTTTTACTGGTAGCTTCTCTTGCCGGTAGATATTTTTGTTGACACTTCGTTTTGTTAACAATTAATTAACAAAAAAAAGAGTGAAAAGTACACAAAGCCTGTTAACTGTTTTGTTTGCGTTCCGCAACTGTGAAATGGAGTGGCTGTAAAACAATTATGTGGCTTTATAGCCACCACCACCACTGGTTTTCTCTCTCTCTCAAAAACAGCGAATGATTAGATATTGAGGAATTTGTGTTAAGTGATTTGCTATTGACGGGGCTTCTAGTGAAACAGGTGTTAGTCATTTTTGTGGGAGATTTGAATATGCGATGATTACTGAGAAATATAATTTAAGATTCCGTTGTGCTAATCGAAGTTGCCTTGTAAATATTTTTTGCCATTTCATTCTAGTCTCGATCGGATTTGAAAGGGGGCTAACATCTCAGAGCTTTATAAGGTTATCTTAATGCCAGAGTCTCTTTAGTTGCTTATGGCTTGTTTTATGGCCAATCAAGGTTTATCTTGAACTTTCTTTTGTCAAAGTGTGAGGGGTCTTTTCTCACTTTTCTCACTTTGTTTTTACCAGATCGGATGAACCATTAGGGTCAGGTCCAGTCCGTTGGTTAGTAGCTTCTGTTAACCTTTCATTTTGTGCGAGCTCCGGCGCTCGTAAACTTTCGTTCGAGCGTAAATCCAAGTATCTCACGAAGCCGGGCTTATCGAGTGGGAAATCGCTTTCCAACGGATGCAACACGTGCCTCCATTCCACCCACCTGGCGGAGCACCAACTCTCACGCCGGTCTCGGGATTGTTTTGTTGTATTCTTGAACTTGTATGTGAATGCTGCTCGCACAAAACCGCAAAATGCAACCGCAAGTGGTTTCTGGTGCTCCACGAGTTCAGTTCCCAGCTTGAAGCTTCTATCCTGGGACAGGAATTCGTGTTCCCCCAGTACACTCGGGATGTACACTGTGGGAATGCGGAATGTTGGGGCTAAAAGTTGATTGACTCACTTTTTTTGCCTCCTTGCAAGTGGACGACGACAAGTCGGGGGATTCATTAACTTGCAACTCTCACTTGCCTGTAAATCGCTGGGAACTCCCAGTTTTTGAGGCCCTGCCAGTCGGTAATCGATATGCGTGTAACACCCGTTTTGGGTTTAAGGGGTTCACTATTTTTTGCTAAAGGCCGGAAACTGTCCGGATTACAGCCCAAAAAGGATTAAAAACAAGTCAGAAAAAGCAACAGAGTTGCAGAGAAAAAAGCAAATCGTTTGGAGCTCTATTTGAGCGTGATTAATTTCTGTACATCAGTCAGTGCCATGCCGGCTAAATGCAAACACTTGGCGCAGACATCCCGGCCCCGAAGCACTGAAGGACTGAAGGACTGAAGGACTCTCCCTTTCCCTTCAACCAATTGCATTTTTTTCCCTCACTCTACATTTTGGACATTTTACCCATTACCCATTCCAACCCGGTCTTGACAAATTAACCAACTTAAAAGCTGTTGCAGCTCGGAGGCTCGGATAGGGATACTGCTGCTACTGCCAAGTGACAACTTGATGTCTTCGTTGGCACATCATATGCACAGCAGGAAGCCCAGGAGGGACCTCTCCCAGGCGACTTAATTGTGCGTTTTGCAAATTCGTGTGGGAATCGGCTTGGCTTAACATTTCTGGCCCATTGTTTTTTTATGTTGGCCAAGACTGGGGCTCTGCAGTTGGCAGTTTTCTGTAGTTACAATTTTTCTTGCTTCTTTTGCTTTGCTTTCAGTTGCTCTGAAAGATAAAAAAGTACTATAAATAACAGACCCAGTAGAAATAGTTGCCCACACAAGTTGGAGCTTATCGGACTTTCAATGGGCACAAGGCCCTCGAATGTTGCATCTGCCATTGGCTTTCTCTGCCAGATAAACCATATAAATATCAGGGAGAACTCTGGAGATGTGCTGCTTAATATTAAAACATCTTAATCGGCACTCGAGTAAACAAAAGGGAACGAAAAAGAGATATGGAAAAATATTAATTGTCGGCGCTTAAGTGGAAGTCTTCGCCGGCTTTTCAGCATATTTATGGAATATGCACGACGGAGAGGCATCAAAAATAAATACATCCCCCGGATGAGGAACGAGGAGCTCATAACTTCATTAGGGCGAGGCAGACTTCTTCCCGGAATTTTTCTCTCAGAAACAAAACCCAAGTGGGGGAGTTGCATTTGCAGCACATTGTTTTTTACAGCCTTGTGCATTTATAGTATTTTATGATTAGTTCGAGGCTGTTGTGACATTAGAGGGGGAACGTGTGGGACAACAAAAGCAATTTGTACTGTATTTTTAGCTGATTTATCCGAAACAAATGTGCAATTTGTATGGAGAGAGAATTTAGCTAAATGCGTCGTCGCTCATCGCAGACAATAAGCGGCCTTGCCTTGGATCACAGAGACACGAAATGCGAGGCTGGGAAATTCTTCCAACTTATTGTTCAGAATTTGAATGGTTTTTGTGCCCGATGAACTGCAATTTGACAGCGGGGAGGCAGTGGAAAATCGGGAAAATTATCTAAAATAAATGGGGGAAAAGCATTTCGCCGTTAAACCGATGTTGCAATAATTTATTGACAAACCACAAAAAGAGTAAAACAATACCTGGGTCCGCGATTCCATGGAAAGCTGAAATCGAAATTGTGTTTGCTTTTTGTAATTGTGTAAAGCAAACTGAAATAAATCGAGAACTTTTGCTCTGAATTTATAATTTCCGCCCCGAGCTGAAAGCTTTATGTGATTTTTTGTCTAGAATCAACCGCTGTTGGCTTTAAGTTTTGCTTTTTATTTTATTATATTTAAAATTTATGAGGTGGCAAGTCGAGGAGGGGGAGAACGAAACCTCAATGAAATATGACAGGATTTTAACAGATTTATGAACCCATCGCAGCTTTTTTTATTTGGAACTAAAAAATGAAATGGAATATTTAATATAGAGCGATGGTTCTTTCTGTTAATCACTTGCATACATAATTTTAAAGCGCCATTTAATTAATTTCAACAATATGCAATAGCCAGTTGAGAGATTTTAATGCAAATGAAGTGTGGCTGAAATTTAATGACTCTTGGATGCTCTATTTCGTCTCTTTTATGTATTTATATAAGAATCTACAAATGGACAAGATATACTTTATTTATTCCAACTCTTTGCCAGATATATCAAGTAGCACAACATCCCAAAAACAAGCTCGATAAAAACAATTCATTGCCGTTTTTATAGCTTTGCAATATTCATTCGAGAGGCAAATAATTCTGTTCTACAGTGAACATAAATTAAATATAATGTGCAGTATGAAAATGCATAATTGATTAATTAATTGAACAACAATTGAGTTTAATTGAGTGTCATATCGAGATTTCCCCGCATCGCAACTCACCATTTCCATTGTGGTCGCGGATTGTTTTTATATAAATTATTTCTGCCCATTTTGTGTGTGTCTGTGTTAGCTTCCGATATAGCCAGGAAGATGTCAGGGGCAGGCATTAACAGTTAATGCATCATCGTCCAAACAGCCAGCATATTTGCACTAAATACCAGAGTTGCAACTTTTTTTTTTGCCGGCCCAACGACTCGGAGACTGCCTGCCAGCCAGGGGACAATCACCTTCTGGCCGATCAGCCACCTGTCCCGGAAAAGCGCTTGGAAAATCGCCGACGAGTCAAAGACCGCCAGTAAAGTTGCAGCAAAAGTGCAACTTGCGTACATCTGTGACTAAGCGGTGACAGCGACATCAGCAGCAGCAGCAGCAGCAACAGCAACAGCAACAGCAACAGCAACAGCAGCAGCGATGCGATGCGATGCAATACGAGCGATGCGATGCGACGCGTGCTGCGTCAAAGCGGCAGCGGCTACGTCAAAGCGTGACAAATCGCTGCGAGATGGTGATGTTGTTTATGTAGCAGCCTCCCTCCAAAGTCTAAGTACAAGTTCTTGCTGGTTTAGTTAGTCACTCGAACTAGAGATGGTAGCGTGAACTTAAGGAAGAAACTTGGGACCCAGAAACCGAAGTTGCAGATGAAGAACTATGTTAGTTGTAGTAAATATGAGGTGTTTTATCTCTTGATTAAGTTTATTAAATATTAAATAATATTATTTAAATATAAGAAAGAATCTTGGGAGCCAGAAACCGAAGTTGCAGCTAAAGAACTGTCTTAGTTATATTTAATTGAGGTGTTTTATCTCTTGATTAAGTTGATTAAATATTAGGTATTAGTAAATAATATTATTTAAATATAAGAAAGAAACTTGGGAGCCAGAAACCGAAGTAGCAGATGGAGAACTATGTTAGTTGAGTAAATATGAGGTGTTTTATCTCTTTAGTAAGTTGATTAAATATTAAGTATTAGTAAATAATTTATTTACATACCCAAAAAGTACTTTTAAAGCCTTCCATTTCCTTTAGCAGTTGCCACCTCTAATTTGGTGCAACATGTTGGGCAACATTTCGAGCCAATAGGCTGGCCAACTTGTTGCCTTGGCCAACACAACTATGGGACCAAAAGTCACAGATAATCGTAGACAAGGCAACTGTGGAGTGTGGGCAAAAATGTTAATTTCGTTTGCACAGAAGCTAAGCCATTAGCAACGGGCCACAGTTGAACTTAATTTTGGCCCAAAAACTCAGATTCTGAGTCCGGCCTCCGAACACATTTCGCGGGTAATTCCATTTAGTACTTTGGAAAACCGAAAACTAGTTTAGTTTAATTTGAAGTTCCCAAGAAATTTCGGCCACGGGGAAGATGCCAGCAAAACAGGCGCAACTGCGAAGCGTATGGTCGGATCTCATTAAAATACTAGAAAATTGACTTTTTGCCTGTTTTGGGCCCGAGGCCCATTCCCGGCTTTTGTAATTTATGGCCAGCTGAATAGAATAGTTACACACAAAAAACCATATTTTCGGGCAAACACAATCGGCTTCCTGTCCAGCACGACCCACAATATGTTCTCTGTAGTACTACTGGGTTATGTCTGCGATACAGATTCGAATACAAAGGATTCTGTCCACTCATGCCGACAAATTGTCGAGTTGACAAAATATCGCTTACCAAACATTTTCAGAACGCTCCATAAATTCCCCTCAATTTGCCACTAAAAAAAGGGAACAAAAACTATTGAATCTGGAAGTCAGAGGACAGGAAGTAGGCCCCTGAAGGAATCAAAGTGTGAGAGTGACTAATTGATAAATGAGGAGGAGATTCCATAAAATGAATGGGAAAATGAGAAACTGATTGGCCGTAAGGCAATAAAAGTTATAGGAGTCAAGGAATGAGGAAGTCCATACAAAAAATGAGAATCTTAAGAAATCTGAGCAATAGAAATAATTCCAAATTAGAGAAAAAAATCCGAGGAGATGACGGAATTTGTGTAATGACTGTTGAATCTAGATATAATGGGTTTAAGGCTAAATATGATTCTAAATTTATATGCTCCTCATAAAAAGCGAGTTGAGACCTATAAAGAACTTGATGATAAACCAAAAGGAGACATAATGATTCTTATCTTGATTGAACATAAAGGCAAACAGGTTATGGGAATGCGGAAAGGGAATGTTAGCTTGCTAAAGGGATTTGTTATGATTTTAGGGCATTATTAGTAGCCAAATTATGCAACACTCTCTGTAAAGGTCTCCGAGTGTCAGTTCCTAAAATCCGATCAACCCACGATGTTGCATCTATGCCCATGCATTAATCTTGCACTGACAACCCAGAGCCCTTACCTGGAAAGATAAGACACTGGAAGCCGCAGACAGCACACCTTTTTTCACACCTCTTGTTTTTTCTTTTAATGTGGGCGTTGTTCTGAGACAAAGGTCACACAATGCCGCCCTAAATGGATCTTGTTAGCAGATGACCCCTGAACTCGGAGCATTAATGCTGGAGCCGGAAACGGACGAAGCGGCATTTGCATCTAAAAAAACTAAAATTCGAATCACTTTTTGGGGTTGTATATGCTCGCATTTATTTAAATGGCTCCACAGAAATCAAAGTGTCCGTCCCGAAACCGGATTTTAGAGTGCCAGGGAAAACATCAGCATCGACATTTCCCCCATTTCCCTGCCGCATTTTCCACATGTTGTGCATACGCGCATCCGAAGAACTGATGCCTGCTACCTGCTACCACGGCAGCTGGTGGGGATTCTGACAGAGACTCCGAAGGCGAGGTTTCTCATGGCGAATTCCCACACTGCACTATCTATGCTATATCTCTCTCTGCTATCCAACTATCCAGGGAAGGACTGCAAGTCAGCTGCCAGCTCAGCTTCCCATTCGCCGTATCAAGTGTATCCCATGGATGCGAGTCGGCGTGGCGAAAGCATATGTGCGTGGCCAGATTGCTGCTGTTGCTGCTGCTGCTGCTGTTGCTGCTGTTGTTGCTGCTGCTGCTGTTGCTGCTGTTGCTGCTATGGCTGCTCAGAAGAGTATTTTTTGTTTTTGGCAGATTTTCTCATATGGTTTTTCATAATGCGCACCCAGTGGCAGCTGTCGCGTGGCCATGGGAAACTCGCTAAGGAAACAGTTGCAGGTTTGCAGGTTGCAGGTTGCACTTTGCATGGGGCGAACCTTTAGGCGGGATTGATTTATGTGATGGGAAATAGTTGAGCAGAGAACCGCGAAATAGTTGGAATAAATTCCTTGTAATAATAGAAATATATATTATATAAATACAATCAATAGTTATAAGACAATGTAATGTAAATATAATGTTACTTAACCCCATGTTATCCTTAAACTAAATGAATTTCCTCATTTTCCATTTCGTTACAGGTAAGCACACCTGGCAGCTACTAGATCGTAGCTTCTTTGGCCATCTTTAGCGACTTTTTACTAGCCGAGAAAACTATTTCTAAGGTAATTCGAGCTGCTTTTAGCTTAGCAACAGGCCGGCTGCTGTCCGGAATGCCTGAAATGACAGGGCAAATAAAAATTAATAGCCGAGATGGCGAAGGCTCCTCCTTTTTGTCCCCGCTTCCTTTTTTGTGAATATTTTTTCCCTTCGTTTTTCGTTTTCTGCCCCAGATTACGCCGCCCTAAGTTGGGTTTGCTCGGCTCCTTTGGCGGCCTTTGTTTACCTTTGAGTCGAGGTTTCTCTTTTTCCCCCTTGTGTGTTAGGGGCCTTTGTTGGTTTTTGTTCGCGGGCCCAGGCTCAGGCCCAAAAAATGTATGCAAACCTCGGCATCTGTATGTATTTTCGAATAAAAAAAGAAAGACAGCACTCATATACATTTTGCGTAATGCGGCGACGGCGCCTGAAAGCGTTGTCCTTCTTTTAATAGTCTTAAATTCCTGGGCAAATAATTTGACAGCAAATAGAGCCCGATGCCAATGGCCAGAGACAAAGCAAAAGGGAATATCCTGAAGAGAGAAAACGGACAGAGGATATTTTTAAAATTATTTGTCCTTTAAAGTTATCTTTTTCCCCTCTTTTTCCTCTGTTGAGCACAAATTAAATACCTTGAATTTTAATTAGATAAATGGAGAAGACGCAAAACGAAAACGTGTCTTTGGTGCAGGCAACCGACACTTGCAACCAGAGCTTCATTTTGGGGAACTGTCAAGTCGAGGGACACATTTCTCCATTTAACTTTTTCCAAGAGAGAAAGAAAGAGCCTACGCTGCAGTGGTTTCCGCATTCTTTGGCGGCGCAACTTACAGTTAAATATATTCTCATTGCCATCTAATTGAATTTCCGTTCCCCACATGGCGCTATTAATGTTTACATTTCCTGTTTTCCACACGCACCGATGCTCCCAAAAAAAGAAGACTCAGCAAGGGAAAACTAATGTCGGCTTCAATTTCCCCAAGAAAACCCAAAACAAGAACCTTCGTTTCCTCGTTGTGTTTTTCATTCGAGCGTGTGGCTAGGTGTGGCTAGGAAACTTATTAATGAATTTCGCTCGAGGCACATGGGACCCAGCTTAGGAGAGGAATACGAGTATCTTTTACAAGTGGTTTTAATGCTTTAATATTTGTAATTACTTTAAAGGAATGGAAATGAAATTTGAGTAAGATATAATAAGCTATATTTTTCCATTACCAGATAAAGGTTTTGCACAGGCAGCTCTTAAAGCTTTGCCTAACTAATTAATAAATTACGTTCAAGTTTCCCTGTTTCATATGAATAAATTTTGCAAGAAATTCTTTACTGTGTGTGGCCAAAATTAATGTCTTCTTCAAAGTCTTCTTTCTTGAGTGTTCCAAGAAAGTGCTGAGTTTTTGTGTGGGAGTGACTGTCGCAAAAGTGGTGACATGTTGCACAGCTTCTCCTCCCAAATCGAAATTGGTGGCACGTGCAGAGAAACACGTCAATTTGAGGAATTGCCAAAATCGACAGGAAAGGCTCATCCTTCCACAATCTCTCTCCAACAGTTGAACAATTATCCCGCCTCTGATTGCTCTGTGACGCAAACGGATAATCGAATCAGCAGACACCCTTCCCACCCGAGTAAATATAGACCACAAGACAACAATTTAAATGCTTAGACATATCCAGCATAATTTAGCATAACGTTGGTATTTTCTGTTTCTGCTTTTTTCTCGACTGCTACCGGATGGCAGAGGCATTTCGAACCAGTTTGTGACATGGGGCGGTGCAGAAGCAAAAGCATATAAAAAAGCATCGTTGCAGCCATAAATCATATCGAAAGAATTTATGCAGCAGGCAAATTCCTTGGCCTGGAACATGTTTCCACCCAACAACAGGTTGTGCAACGGAAGTGGCTGGAAAAGTCTTCCCTGCACTCGCCTCTTAATGAGCGGGAAGTGATTTCTTCCAATTCGACTTCCTGTTTGCAGCCGCTGTCAAGGATGCACTCTAATAGGTCGATTTCTTGCCTCCAGGCCCCGCGAGCTGAACTCGTTAGCGAGGAGTATCTCATGGATACGCAACTCTCTCGATGTCTAAGTGCGTCTCAATCTATCGTTTCCGGTGACACTTGACTAGTTTTGACTGTCTTCTAGTTGAGTTATTGAGTGTTATCAAGGCTGTGAAGATAAATTATTAGTTTACAAATCGGTGTTTTATTCAAAGAACTAAATTAATAAATTATAGGTAATTGTCATCAATTTAAAGCCTGCAGCAAGGTATCTTTAGTTTGAAATTAAGCTGTCATGATCAGCGTGCTCTGCTCCTATTTGTTTATTAATTATACCAAAACTATCATAACTTATTCCGCTGAATTCATATGCAATTATTAGCAGAGCTCTAAATCTTCTGGCACTCCCAGAACCACATATGCGAACTGAATTTATGGCGGAGCCGGAAAACTTTCGCTGCAAAGTATGCAATGCCAAATTGCGCGTGCCTCCTTATCCTGCAGTCTGAGTGTGTGTGTGTGTGTGTCTCTCTCTCTCTCTCTCTGTGTGTGAGTGTGCCTGCATTCGATTCAATTTCATAGTTGATTTTCGCTCGCACCTACGCAAAAATTTACGACACTTTTAAAATGTGCAATTTATGGGAAACGCCAAGGATGCCAAAAGGGGCGTGTTGGAGTCGAGTCCTGCTAAAATTATGGAAATTTTCCTACTAAAATTGTAGTTGTAGGTGCCATTGTATAGAATTTTGGGTTTTCCCTCTGTAACGATTTACAAAGACAGCAGCAGTATAACTCTAACGAAGTTTGTCCAGCAAACAAAAGGAGCTGCAAATTTGGCCTGACAATGGATTAATTTTAAGGCTTTACTAGGGAAACTTTGAGCTCTCTCTCTGACATATGCATACATAACATATGTTTCATCGATCTGGCTATAAATTTCATTCGAAATGCCGCAAAGTATGCAAATGATTAGGTGACAAAAACGCAGCAAATACCCGAGGGAAGGCATCGAAAAACCAACAGCATTTGACCGCAAATTTTAAACACTCTCGCGTGGTGTGACATGTGCCAGGGGGGGGGGGGAGTCGGAAAATGCAACTCGTTGGCGAGTTAATGGAAAATTGGTTGCCCAAAAGTGTGCTCTAAATAATTGGAAATTATTTCTGCTGTCATTGCAATGACATGTGAGAGGCGGCTGTCCCTCCTCCTGCGTTCTCTCCCATGTGTGTGTGCGTGTAGTTTTGACATGGTGACAACACATCTCTGTGCATCCTGCTGCATCCTGGTGCATCCCCCCTCTGTTTATCTCCCACTTTATGCTTACATAATTTCCGAAACATAATTCCCCGCCACTGTCCACCCTGAGGGGGTTAGTCAACTCACTGATGGCATGTTAATCCGCTCGCTCTTGTTTTGCATAATAACTGAGCGGTTTAGTTAGGGGGGATGGGGAAAAATTTTGAGGAGGGGGGAGACCAGCATTCTTCACAAGGGGCGCCGCTTAAATATGCCAAAAATTGTGCCGCAAGCTGGGAAATAGTCGGAAAATGATGAAACAATTGGAACACCGCCACGGTAGGGTGTGGAAAATTCAGAAAAAGCAGCTGCATTTTGGCTTATTTAATAGGATCCTGGAAATATGGTTCACTGGGGAAAATTTGCATAAATAAGAGAACATATTGGATGTATTAAAATGTATTACAATTTAGGAAATATAATGGATGAAAATCTTTCAATTATTAGATGTATTTATGGGTAGGTTATACATTCCCCTTAAACTGCTTTGTTATATTCTAATATACATTATTATTGTTTATACTACATCCTAGTTTTAGTGTCCTTTTGTTAGATTCATTTTTAAAAGAACCCCAGGAAGATGTTTAATTCGCTGGGATCCCTTGCAGCTACAACTGCGCTTTGTTGCACGCGTTACTCTTAATTCCGCTTCATGCACGAGCTGCTTAATTTTTGCCCTTTTGATTCTATTTCTAGGACCAGGCAGCCAGCCTTGGAGCTGGTGCCGTATCCAGTATCCCAGTATACTGAGCCACCTGCATGCTGGGCTCCACAATTCGCACTTGGCACACTCCTTGGCCAACATTTTAATGAGGAGCACCGCGTTAGCAATGCTTCCTAATTTCAAAACTAAAACAAAAGAACCCAAAACAATCCAGAACACAACCCACAAAGAGCTAACCTCCCAAAGTTGATTTAAACTACAACTTAATTTAGTTATTTTTTGTTCCTTCTCGGGCCTTGGCGCCCTTTGCTATGCAACACTTTTTAATTGCCGGCAAAAAAATAAAATGGCGCTGGCTAAGCGGCTTACATAAAAAACAGAGACAGCAGGCAATAAAAAATGGTCAGAAAGGAGGCTTACTGCCGCCAAAGATAAATAAATAAATACCCCGCTTAAGCAAAAATTATAAATGTTAGCTGGCGAGACAGAGGCACTTTTTCAAACAAACTTTTTCAGCCATTTTTTATACGTTTTCAAGGGTATTATAATTTTAGCCAGAAGCAAGTAACGCTGTAAAGGAGTCATATAAACCATACAAAGCATATATATTCTTGATCAGCATCAACAGCTGAGTCGATCTAGATAAATTGTCAAAAAATTGGCAAAAAATTTAATTTTCTAAAATTTTAAATTGAGTATTCAGATTTATAAACCCAATGAAAACTTGCATAGGAGCGGTTTCTGAATTTAAATTGCAGCTTTTTTAGCTTAGTTATGCTATTTTTAAACTTTGATTTTTTGCAAAAAATTGTCCCCTAAAATCTTGTTAAATATCGATTAAAAAAATGCGAATATTTTAAGCTTAGTTATGATCTGTTCCCGATTCAATTACAAACTGCAAGGGTATATAAATTTCGTCTTCCTGAAGTAAGTTTTCTTTTTTGTTTTAGGTTTTTGTATCCTGAGGTTTTTTTATTTTATGACTGTCACTTGCAACACATTACGAAAATAGTTTGCACCCAGTTTTTGTTTGTCCTTGTTTTTATTCTCAATTTGTAGGGAAACGGAAGAGCATACCATTTTTTAATTCACAGCTAAACCCATATATATTATTATATATTTTGCTTAAATTTTAAAGTGCCTTTTAAGCTAATTACCTTTATAAACCTTGAATTTTTTTCGCATTTAATTTTGTTGGGTTGTCGTATCCGTTTTACCTAGCGGACTTTCCATAAACCTATTAACCCATAGCCACTGAAAATGCCATAAATAGAACCAAAGTCTGTAAAAGACTAGCTCTTCGCATAAATTAACCGTAAAGCGAAACATCAAAAATCACTCAACTAAGAATACGCAAAATAAATGAAAAAAAAAAGGAAAAACGGCGAAAAGAAAACTCCCCCAGACGGAAAAATCTCTGGCAATGCTTCGCTGAACATCGAGGCAGAGAAAAAATAATGCTAGAACAAAAGTGAGACCCCCAGCAAAGCCATTCCCCCATAAAAAACGGTTAACTTAATTGACTTTTGCAAGTCAATTTTATCAATTGCATTGAAGTAAAAACTTAAATGCGATTATTGAATTTATTGACAAACAGTAAACCCCTTTTTTTAAACGCATTTTCTGCCATATGGCATCGGCAGCATTAAACATGCAATGAAAAGCCCCAGCAGGGTATCAATATTGACTTTATACAAGTAAATATTTAATAGAATTTTTTTAACAGAATTAATTTGCGTAGATGTGCTTAAAGTGTGTTTCAATCAATAGTTAGTAATCGGAAAAATATTCCCCTTGAAACGATTACAATCTGTCAGTTGATCGATGGCGGAGCACATCCTTGCCAGAATGTTACTCATTTGCTCGTCTGGTGGGATACAAATTATCTGGCAAACATTTGGCTTTTGTGTCTTCGTGATTCTTCTGCCCTGTTGCATTTTCCCCCTTTCGCCGTGTGTGTTTTGTCTGCGATTTTTCATCTCCTGGCACAATTTTTCCTCACCCAGCCAGGCAGTCTCTGACAATGACAATGATGGCAATGGCGTCGATGGCAACGATGGCCACATTTGGCAAAATGCTCTAAGGTTGTTGTCACTGTGACTCCGGCTTCTGTCTTTGATTAATAAAGCCAGCGTAACATGACAGTCAAATCTTATCAGACAGGGCGGCCAAGGATCCGGGATAAAATTGGTCTGAGGTGGCCCAGCTTAAAGTATCTTTCCTTGTTCCCTGACAAAAATATTCACTCTGCTTTCAGCCTATTTTTTTTGTTGCCCGTGGTCCCTTTTCTAGTCTGCTGGCCATGAAAGTATTCTCTAGCTTCTTTCCGCTGGCCGGGTAATTCAATCAATAATCCTTTAGCTTTCGAATGTGTGAAAATGATAAAGGACCCCAAAGGCAGGACCTCCGTTTCTGATAAAGTTTTGAGTATGTATCGGTAACTGGAAAGCCCAGTGCTTCTGAGCAACAAGTTCAAGGACATGTTTTTCAGGACTGCAATTTGTAACACACCAGAAGCTGAGATAAATCTCAAGTTGAAGTTAGAGATGGCAATGTTAAGGGTTTATTAAATAATAATAAAAATATTAAATACTTTTATTTTAGGTCATACAAATATATATTTTCAAGAACTTAAGAGAAACCTGTTCTGAGGCATAAACGATGCTGTCATCTCTCACTTTCGTTTACGACTTCCTTGCAAACTAAACTTAAAATTAAAACATTCCTGGCAAGTTCTGAGCATCTTTCGTCTGCCGTCTCCAGCTGGTTTTTATTGCCTCTTTTGTTTGTTGCCAACAGTTGTAAGTTGTGTAATGTCTGTCTGTCTGTCTGGCAGTTACTTACTTGCTCTGTCGCCTCCTTCGGCGTGTCTTGGCCATGTTGTATTGCCTTCTGGAATTTATGCGACTTGTGTGGCAGCCGTGACCTTTGGTACTTCGATTCTATGGCATAATTGGAAAAGTTCAGGGGGGCACATATTATGATTATTATCAGTGGCCCAAAACTAAGGCCAAGCAACTCAATTAGAGTTCAATGCGAGTTGTTCTTGACCAATCCGGCTAAGTGCCACTGTGCCACAGTCGAGGACAATCATAAATCTTTAACTTATTTCCACTCACCGAGCCCTTGCACCTCAAACTGGTTTATATTAACATTTTTTCTTTCCTCTCTCTCGGCCTGGGTAGCAATTTTCCTTCTTCCTTGAGCTTTTCCAGTTTCTTTCAATTTTTATGACCAGCCATGTGTAGGGTCCTAAAATTTTATGCGAATTTCTAATTCAATTTCACGTTAACGATATTTTCTGGATTTCCTTCTCCGAGTCCTGCGTCCTGCGTCCTTTGCCCTCTGCTGTCACATTTGCTCATCTCGAGTGGCTTACTTACACTTTATTCGATTTGAGCTTGTTGCTGGTTTTTGCCTTTTCTTTTGAGTTTGGAATTAATTTGCTTGATTTGCAATTTGGAGCCACAGAAACGTCTGTCAGTGTCCCCAAAAAATTTATTTAATCATTCTGCCTGCGTTTTGAGTTATTTGCTAGCAGATTTTAGTTCAGATGCCTCATGAAGCAACTGTCAAAGTATTTTTAAAACATTTTGGTTGTCGTTATAATGAGAGAGTGAGCAGTGAATCCTATGAAAGGGAAATATTTAAGATGCACTGGTAAATAAATTTTTAAGATCAAAAATTAAAATTAAACAGGATTGGAAACTATTAAATAAATCAATATTTATTGAGATTAAATATGGAATAACTACGTCAAAAATGACTTAATTTAAATTCGGAAACTGTTCCTATGCTAGTTTTTATTAGGCTATTAATTCCGATCAAGAATATATATGATTTATAGGGAAATGCCTCCTTCACATCGTTTCAGGCTTCTGACTAAAGTAGGAATACCCTGCAAGTTCCAAGAACTTAATAATAAAGAACTTACAGTGAGCCAGCTTATAGTTTAATATTCTTAACATTCTTGGAAAATCTTCGCATTTCCTTCGAGTGTCTGCTTTAAAGATAGAAGTCTCTTTTGCTAGAGAGTTCAATTTAGCAGTGACCCGAGTGCCATCATCGCGTGAAACTCTGCAACATTAGCCGCTAATTGCGGGAGCAGCAGACGTCAGCACTCAAGCGGGTCCACCCGCCTCCAGCCTCCAGCCTCCAGTGAGCTCCCTTAACCCCCTGAAGCCACTGAATCCGCTGAATTCCAAATCCCCCAGACTCCTCTCCCTTCCTCCTTCACAGCTCTCACAATCTGGCACAGTGCACGTCGTTGGACGCAGAGCTCCTCCTCGTATCGTTTGCATTGCTCCAGTGCTCGTTGAAATTTTATGCTGGTTCGCCACGGTTCACTTGCTACGACTCCAACTGCGAATGCCAGTGCTCCTCCTACTTGGACTCTGCTTCTAATTAATCGTGTGAAAGTCGCGCAATCATAGTTGTCCCTTTAACAACAATAATTTTACATTTTAATTAAATGCTGAGCAGAACCATGCAAAATGTATATATTTACCACACACACACACATCTAGAGTTTGGAGGCTGACAGGGATTGCATAACCGGATGTTGAGCCCGGTCCATCCCATCAACTTCCGCCTGCAATCGGCTCACAAAGCGGCACGCCTCGAATGAGAGTCTCAATGCCTGGCTGCTTGGGGGATCTCCATGCACACAGGGATCATGGAACACCATTGGAGAGGCACGGCGTGGCTTGGCTTGGCTTTCAATCAAACGTCAGGGCGGCGATTTCCCCGATGAACGCCCCATTTCGCTTTCATGGCCCATTGTCAGCGCCATGAACAGCCCAGCGATGCGAGGCAGCGACACAGCGAGCCCTTTATTAATTTCAATACATCATCCCCTCCTCATCCTCATCCTCATCATCGTCGTCGTCTGGAGAGCTGCTTCGGCTGAGGACACTTCTCCTCAATATCTTCCCCTCCATTTGCATGCCTCAATGAGCTCTGGCTGCTCTCTGCCTGAAAGTGGCTGCATTCATCAGGGAAATGCGTGCATCCAGAGGGTTTTTTGTAAAGAGGATGCTCCTCCCTCCCAGAGCCCACATATCTTACACACAGAGCACATAATCAGGGTACATTAGCATTAGCTTTATCAGGTTTAATTTTTACTGATTAAAAACGTATTCTAAAGGTATTTCTTGCTGTGCAACATTGTTTTTAGAAAAACCGGATGTTGCAATTGAAGTTTTACTGAGTGTTCCAGGAAGCATTTATCACTAGTAAGCCCTATGACTAACCCCTATTTTGTTTTCTTTACATTTCAGATGCTGAAGCACGTTCAAATCTCACCGCTGCGCAATCGTTCTGACTCGGTGTCCCTGCGCTCCTCCAGTCATGCCTCCTCCTGCGCCAGTTCCATGTGCGGCAGTCCGGAGCCACCCACAGATCTGCAGAGGACACCCTCGCGGGCCTCCAGCTACTCCAGTCTCAATGAGCAGCTGCCACAGGTGAGGTTTTACCTTAGAAAGTAAAAGAAAATCTTTTACTGATGCAATGATTTCTTCCACAGACCACCATCAAAGTGTACACCAACTGCCTGAAGATCGATATCGAATACAAGACATTGGGGATTCAGTGGGACACCACCAGCAAGGAAGTGATTGCTATGCTGCTGAGACGGTAAGTTAGGAACTCTTTCCCTCTTCCAAATGAAACCTAATCCAAATCTTTTCTTCTGCAGCCTCAAGATGCGCCATCGTGATCCACGACTCTTTTACCTGTCCATGGAGGTGGCCGTACGTCGGGCTGGTGTAAAGACCATCCTTGTGCTGGACGATGACACCCGGCCGGCTATCATGCAGGCGTGCCACCCGAAGGGTGAATCTCGCTTTTGCCTGCAGCTAAAGCCCGGCGGTCTCATCCGCGTCCACACATCCGCCCTGCAGCCGAGCTCCCAGTACAAGTCCCTGGTAATTAGCGAAGAGACCACCAGCGATGAACTGCTTCAGTTGCTCCTCGGCTGCTATAGCTCACCGGAGCCCGTGGAGAGCTTCTCGCTGTACGAGGTGTGTCCGGGACAGGAGTGTCAGCGCAAGTTGCATCCGGATGATCTGCCGCTGCGCACCCAGGCGGAGCGGATGAAGCGCGGGGAGGGTTGTCACTTCTTGGTAAGGCGGACGCCCAACTATGCCCGTCGGCGTCAGTTGTTGGCCAACCTGAACGAGGCCATTGGCCAGGCTGCAGCAGAAGCGGCGGCAGCAGCAGCAGCGGAGGATGCCACCAGTCTGCTGGAGCTCTCGCTGGAGTCGGATCTGTCGCTCTCCGAGGATCTGCACAGCTGCAGCAGTCGGAGCAGCAGCAGCGAAGATGCCGAGGATGAGGACGAGTGTGCCAGCAGCTCTGGCTCCTCGGACAACTCCACGGAGTGTGCCCTGCGACGTGACTTTTATCCAACTCCAGCTCCTCCTGCTCCTGTTTCTGTTCCTGCCCCAACGACAGTCACCGTGTCGCCACCTGCTCGTGCCTACAGCCCCGTGTACAACATTCGGGAGATCCGCACAGCCTCGCACTCGTTCTCCTCGCTGGGCAAGGACAAGAAGCTGCTGGACATTCATATGAATGCACGCTACGCCTCCGGTGGAGGTCTCTATGGAAGGCTGATGCCTGTTGCAGAGACAGAGACCCTGGACCTGAATGGCAATCCCAGCAGCAAGCTTACAGCGGAGGCTGTTAACAACAATCCGGCCAAGGGTCTGGGTCACTTTGTTTATCTGTAGCCTCACCCAGAGAAGTGTACATAGGAGCAGCAGCAGTTTAAGTCTAAGATTAAAAGCCCCCCAAAAAGTAGTTTGGACCAAAGATGCATTTGTAGTTTAAGCCTTAAGATTGAAAGAATGTAAATAGAAAGTAGAACTAACTAAGATAGGCTAAGTTAAGGCAAAGAAACCATCTGCTAACAATCCCAAATCAAAGGAGTCTATAGCTTAGTGCCCTAGTCCTGCGACTAGGGTTTCAATAAGAATAAGAACCTGGACAGCTTGCGGCTAACATTCGTGTAGAAACCAAAAGATATTTTAATAATAAGAATCAGCGAATATGTAAAACTTAAGACCATGTGTTCTCTTTTTAATTCCGAGATTAATCTCGCCGCCACTTCATTTTTAATTGCATTAAAATCTGGTTAAACACGTGAGCGAAGAGGCAATGGGGCCGCAATTAATGCGGCCAGCCGCGCAATTTGTATTTCGATGAACGCCGCCGCCTGGCCAGGTCCGCGTCCGGATCCGGGTCTGGGTCCGGAATTAAGGCTCTCCATCTCCATCTCCGCTCCGGGTGTTCGGTGCCGGCTTACGGCGAATGATTTATGCGGCGTATGCGTAATTTCCAGAGCCATAAGCTTTTATTTTTTAAACGAGCTTACTTTACATAATGATCGAAGGATTTAAACATGGAAAGGCTTTTTACCAACTCCCACTTATCGGGTCAGTCGGGGTCCGGTCCTCTCTTCTCTGCCTTTCGACTAATTTAAGTACGAAGGGTTCGCTTTCGGGGCAAATTAAAAATCAACAAATTTACCCAATCAAATCCAATTTGCTTGCATCCTAAAATAATAACTCTGAACCATGGGTCAAAAAGATCCGTTTAGGACTCAGGGAAAAGGTCTCACTTACCGACCGGATTGGAGGGCCGAGAGTTTGTTTTGTTTTTCGTTTCAACTCATCACATCAGACGAGAGTCTGCTCATTTTGTGCCAAACTTTTTAAAGCCGAAACTCTGGCAACCAAATTGCACTGAGCCAAAGGAGACTCATGAAAAATGCAAACCGAGTCCTGAGTTGCCTGATGCGGCAGCTGTGCAAACGGAAGCGGAAATGCTAAACAGCCTGCTCGCTCTGCTGGCCAGCATAATAACTTAAGCACTTTATAAGTCGAATTTAAAATTTTCCAAGCAAAAGGCACAACTTGTGCTGCTGCTGTCTCTGTGTGTGCTGGCATTCAAATTTTGGGCAAACTTCGGCGACTGTTGCACTCGAGATAACTGTCTGTCATTGCCTGGATCGAGTCGGGGGTGTTTTGTTATATGAAGTGGGTGAATGAGTGGTGCTTCTGAACTAAATGAGTGGACATGCATACATATATGCCAGGATTCAGGCCTGAGATTCCTTGCTGTTCAACTGAGCGCCTGGTAGCCCAGCATCCTGTCCGGTTGCTTGACCCGTCTTCATCCCAAACCAGACGTTGCACCTCCCCCCATACAAATTGAATAAAAATTGCAGAAAAATCGGCCAGGAAAAAAATCAGAGGGCCAGGCAAACAGCAATCTGCAGCAAGCCGATCCTTCAGGTAAGTCAGATTTATCTTGTTTTCGGGCCAAGATGCAATCTCGCTTTGGGGCCAGAGGTTCGGAAAGGGAAAATGGGAAAATGGAAAGTTTTCAGCAAGTTTTATTTGTCTTTTGCATTACACTTAATATATTTCATTCAGATTAATTTCGAGAGCACACATACACAGAGAGAGCGAGGCGGACAAACTTTCGTCCTGCAGTTGTTGTCCTGTCAAATTGCTTGGAGGAGGGAAAACTTGGCCGGGATATGCACAAAGTTTGTGTTTGCGCAAGATTGAAGGGAGAGAGAGTGAAGTGGTCAGTGCAAAAATAGAAAATAGAAATGCCTTTGCCTTTCGCCTTGGCCCTGATCACGGTCGCCATCCGTCTAAACGCCACGCAACGCGACGCGGACTCGCAACAAAGCCAAATCAAAGTTGCATCCTGTGTGTGTTACCCGTTCGACTAATTGCCATAAGCTGTTACGTAAATTTGTACACGCTCTCTAACTGTTATTTTTACACAACTAATCGGATTAGTGTGGTGGTCACCTGCCCACGCCGAGGCACATGTACCTCATCCCCCTGTCCAGAGTCTCTTTCTCGTCCTTTTGTTGCAATTGACTTTGGTGAGTGTCGTAATTTTTCATTTGAGCAACTCGTAATCCCCCTTCACTCGGCTGCAGGCTCAAACGATGAAAATTAATTTCCATCGGCCGAGGGAAATTATGAAGTATGCCTCCCCCTAATGACATATTCAAATAGCAAGTTTAGTTTCAATGAGTTAAGCCGCCTGGCATTTTAATTAAAAAGCTATTGCATAAATTGGCGCCCAGTTAATTATGTCCTCAGCTCCTTTGTGGTCCTCGACAGCTCATGGTGCAGGATACAGAGGGAGGTTTTTGAAACTAATGAGATTGTATAACTTTAAGTGGTACATTTAAGAGCTTTAAATAGTGATATTTCATTGCTTTTTACCCTAATCAATAATTTTAGTTTATAGTGTTAGCATTGCTTAACTTTAGTACAAGTTCTTGTATACTTTTTTTAATATATGCAAAGGCCTTTAGCTTGCTCCTCTCCATTTCCCAATTGTTCTGACCTTCTTTCTGCTAGTTGGCTTTCCATTTTAGCCACTTTTGTCTTCACCTCTCCCCCATATGTACTCACAAATATCGAACTCCCCTTTTAAATGATGATGAAGAATTTTCGTCTAGCATTTTCTATTTTATTTTCTTTTCAGCCCATTCGATAGTTTTGCCTGTTTTGTGATATGAGAGCCTGGTGTTTGTATTTTTTTATTTTTGGCAATTTCTCAATTTCCCCTTCAACATTTGCAAGAGTAAAAATTCTCTCTGAGGGAACTTAATTTCGTTGCAATGCGACTTACTGGTCTGAGAGCTTGGTAAAAGCCGTTTTTAATTTTTCACAATTTTCCTCCTAGGGTATTATAATTTCAGTCAGAAGCTTATAAAGCAGTGAAGATGTCATTTCCTAACCTATACTCTGGTAGAAAAATACAATTTTGACTTTTTTCCAAATTTTCAAAAAAATATAAAGGTTTACATCGTTTAAACTTTCAAGTTTTGGCAACATGGCAGATTTGTTAGTCTTATTAAAACTAGCACAGGCAATTTTTTTGAATTTAAAATAATGTATTTTTAGCTCAGATATGATATTTAAAAATTTATTTTACATACGACTTACCAGAAAAATTACCATATATAAAATATCGATATTTAGAATACAGATTCTTTATGTTTTTAAGAGGTATATACAAATGTACATATTTTGATAACATTTGGTACTGAGTATAAAGTTATTGAGACTCTTGCCTCCATCGTTCCTTATTGTTCATTTCTAACTCTTCTGAGTTCCTGGCCAATGATTTCAAATAGAAAAATGCCAAATAAAAGTCTTTTAGTTTGAAGTTGTGTTTGCTTTCGGAGTGCTGAACAGGCGCTCTGCAACCTCACACACATATTTTCCATAGAAAATTGTGGGTGGGTTATGTGAGATGTTCTGTGATTCCTAGCACAAGTGTGTATATGAGTAACTCGACATTTGAGTACGCTTTCACAAGCATTTAATTGTTGGTAGAATGAATGAACCTGAAGTATGCTGCACAGATGGACAAACTCATCCCAAAAGTGTGCTTCAATGCAAAGAAAACTGGAGCAAAATGGTTTTATATCCATAAAAACAACTTAAACTTGGCTGAACTATCTTAATCAAGTTCTATAAAAATTTGGTTTTAAGTTAGAGAACTGTTACTTCTACCTATTCAATTCTATTATAAATACTCAGCAATTTTTAGACCATTGCAGAATATTAAAATTTTATTCAGAACTTGCAGATTTGTTACCGTTGTAAAAACCAGCTCGGGAAAGATTTCCGGATTAAAATTAACAAATTTTTGGCTTTGTTATGAATTTTTTAATATTTGATTTTTAGGAAAATTGACATAAAAATATTAAAAAATACCTACTCAAAGAATAGGATTAAATTTTAAGTAATTTTAATTCGTAAAAATTTTAAACTGAGTATGCAGATTTGTTAACGTTGTAAAAACAAGCTCGGGACAGCTTTCCGATTTAAAATTAACGAATTTTTGACTTTGTTATGAATTTTTTCAAATTGGATTTTTAGGAAAAATTGGCGTAAAAATAGATAAAATATGGTATTATAATTTTAGTCAGAAGCTTATAAAACAGTGAAGGAGTCATTTCCGACCCTATAAATCATATATATTCTTGATCAGGATCAGCAGCTGAGTCGATCTAGCCATGTCTGGAAGAAATCGAAAATTTTAAAAATGTTTCCATTTTTGCAAAAAATGATAAGGGGTTACATCATTAAAATTGCCAAAAATTGGCAAAAAATTCAATTTTCTAAAATTAAAAACTGAGTATGCAGATTTATTAACCCAATAAAAACTAGCGTAGGAAAGGTTTCCGAATTGAAATTAATGCATTTTTGGCTTAGTTATAAGTTGTTTTCAATTTGATCTTTAGGAAAAATTGGCATAAAAATATAAAAAAAATACCTACTCAAAGAATGGGATTAAATTTTAAGTAATTTTAAATAGCAAAAATTTTGAACTGAGTGTGCAGATTTGTTAACGTTGTAAAAACTAGCTTGGGCAGCTTTCCGATTTAAAATTAACGAACTTTTGACTTTATTATAAATTTTTTAAAATTTGATTTTTAGGAAAACTTGGCGTAAAAATAGATAAAATATGGTATTATAATTTTAGTCAGAAGCTTATAAAACAGTGAAGGAGTCATATCCGACCCTATAAATCATATATATTCTTGATCAGGATCAACAGCTGAGTCGATCTAGCCATGTCTGGAAGAAATCGAAAATTTTAAAAATGTTTCCATTTTTGCAAAAAATGATAAGGGGTTACATCATTAAAATGCCAAAAATTGGCAAAAAATTCAATTTTCTAAAATTAAAAACTGAGTATGCAGATTTATTAACCTCATAAAAACTAGCATAGGAAAGGTTTCCGAATTGAAATTAATGCATTTT